AAAGCTGCCAAATGGGGTGGCAGCTGGGGTGGCAAGGCATTTTTCTGAGGTGGCAGCTGCCACCCCGTGCCACCCTGTAGAACCGCCACTGGTTGTACTCGAGTAACTAGATGATAAACTGTCCTAAATGTCAACCATTGAAGTGTTTCGAGAATTGTAGAACTCTAGTAAATGCATTCCTAAATAGTCCAAAGACAATCTGATGAATGCAGATTGTGCTCACACGGCACATTATCTGCACTGTTATTGGCTTCAGTGTGTTCTAAATGTTCTGTTATGGTGCATTGCCATTGCAGGGCCTCACTCGGCTTAGTACGGTATAGTTAGGCCTTGTTAGGCCAGGCTCACTTTATGCTGCGTTTCCATTACAGTTTAGGAACTGGGGTAGTAACGCAGTGTAGGCGGAGTGAAACAACCTAAAAAAGACTGGAGCTGCAAAGTTTTCTGGGGATTAAAAGTAATTTGATCTGAAAAGTCTGAATCCCACTGCATCATCTTCAGGTCCTTTCCTTTGCAGTGCCCATGTTAAACAGGTACCTCCCTTATAATGGATCTGCCTGAATGATTCATGTGCTTTTCTTCCTGTTGTCCCCTGTTTGTCTTATCAATGACTTGAATGACTTCACTTTAACTCTCCACATCACTCTTTATTCCAAACGGAGTAGAAGCTTCCCATCACACCCAATGAGTTCATGTTCTTTGAATGGTTTCAACCAGTGCTAAAGACACTGCGTTGAATGGTTGATGACCAGAGGTGGGAAGTATCAAAGTACATTTACTCAAGTCCTTTTGAGGTACTTTATACTTATACTAGAGTCTAATACAATTCAAAGCGATTGTACTTTTTACTGAGTTAATACTTTATTTATAAATTTAGATTTTTTTACACACAAAACTTATGAAGAACTTTTAAAATAAGGTGTTTTTGATGTAGATTAAACTATTCAAAACTATATTTACACAAACTAGCAGGGGGTTGACTAAACAATAATCCGGCAGCAATTATAGTAATTGTTTACGTAGTTTTTTGTGTAAATATATTTCACAGTTTTTTCAAAGGTGAATAATTTCTTCTTTCATTTAAATATTTATTGTTTTTTTTCCTGTAATGAGTACTTGTACTCCTAATATTTAACGTACATTTTCCTGATCATGCTTAAATAATTTTACTTGAGTACCATTGTTAATGCAATACTTTTACTTGTAATGGAGTATTTTTACATTTGAGTACTCGTTATTTACATAAGTAAAGGATCTGAATATTTACTCCACCTCTGTTTAATGTAATTATTAAGGGCTGATCTGTTACCTGTGTGTTCTTAACAAGCCTTAAGATTGTAAAAGCTGGAGAACATGTGGGTGTGAGGTGGTGTTTCACAGTCAGGATAATTTCCTCTCCTCTGCTGTGTTGTGGCTGCTCACCGCAGAAAAGGAGGACGGACGGTGTGGAGTATTTCAGGGTATGCCTGCTGCTGCCTGTTAGCAGCTGACTCCTGCAGTGGTAGTTAGTCAGCAGTAGAAACCATTGTGTTTGAATCCCAACACAGCAGCTTCAGGCTGGCAAGACACTACATGACTTACAGACAGCATACAGGAAGTGTGGCTCCACTTCCTTTATGCTGCTGGGATACTGGGGTAATCTGTTCAAACTGTATATAGATTTATATTGACTGATTTTAAAGAGTTTTACTTCTATTTTTAAATCGGATCATTTTTGGACCCAACAAAGTTACTGAATAAATCTACTTAATGCAAAACCTTGTCTGTAGTGTCAGGTCCAGATGGTGGTTTTGGACTCAGGATCTGAGGCTGAGGCCCTGCATCATTAGACAAACTAAGGGCAGTGCTTTTACCTTGTGTTATTAGGTACAGACTAGATGTATTTAAACAGATTACGCCCACAAGTCAAATTTTAAAAGTCTGTAAAAATCAGAAAACCTGTGTTAAATGAAAAATCTTCTGTTGTTAAAAATGTTGTCTATAGTTAACAGTCATGTTATGTCTACCCAGCACAAGAATAAATCCTGAACATGTGGTCGATAGTTGTATTTACTGCTAGGTTTCCAGGTAGCTTTCCTAATAGTATCACATGGATGAGATCCAAATGTTACCCTATTACTTGTGAGTTAAATGTTAAAGTAAAAAGCTGTAGATGTCATCTTTTTTTATACAGGTATATAGTACTAAAGCTATATCTTTTCTTATGTGATTGGTAACAGTCCAACATGTTCTTTTGAAGACACTGATTCGTATCCTGTTCCTGCTTTGTTGAGTCTGTTTCGGGAAATCTGTTTACATGCTCACATATTTTCAGTCTTTTTCCATGATGCTGGTTGTGCTCAGGATGTGATGTTTTCATACCACAAAGAGTAACCCGACTTCCTGTGAAAATGATGATGCGTTTGCCAAAGTTTTCTGTACACAGTTAGCATTTTCCAGGTTTCTGTTACGATGGTGGTTACTGTATGCTGTAGATACTAGCTCACACCGCTGTGAAGGCCTTGTAGGAATATTCTACAATATACTGTTTCTACCCAATCAATAAAATCACTATATATATGTAAACAGATAGTTAGTAAAAGTTAATTAAAGGTACATACCTGACATAATCAGTTAGCTTGAATCCCAATTGTGGTAAATGCAATTATAGAAAAGTCATTTCTGTCATTTCGTAACTAATATATCATTCTTCTGCAGAGTAATTAGGTCATTTGTCTCTTCCTCCAGCTCTATAAGTGGAAGAGCCTCTGAAAGAACGCGCTGGTTATTAACTCTTTCCTTTGTAAAAGTTGGTGATGTTTTTCTGTACTGTCAGGGATGTATGACCATGTTCAGACTCAAAGTGTTCCATGTTAGATGGACCACAGACCACTGGCCTTTTTCTTGAACAACGTTTCACTTTTCCCTCCACAGCAGCTGCTTGACTGTTTAAACACTAAGTCTTGTCCGTCTGTCTACCTGTCTGTCACTCTGTCACTCAGATCAACAACAAGGCCAATGTGGTCACCAGCCCCAAAGAGCCCGCCCCCACTCCTTCTCTGGTACACTGTCTCCTGCCTCGCTGCATGTGTGCATGTCTGTCTGACTGTATCTGTCCACACTGTCAGTGGCATCTGTCGGATTATACTGCTCTGTGGCACACACTTCTTTTTCACTTAATGTTGTTTTTCCATAAAGTTTAAAAACCACAAATGTATTTATTCCTCTGTAACATGAGCAGTTCTCGTCACCTCTCAGTTGCTTAGTGCATTGCCATATTGCTGTACATGGGCTACATTTACCTTTGTTGTTGATTATAGCGATAATGGCAACCCTTGTGCCATTAAACGTCAAACTGTGGCCAACAGGCTTCAATCCGTTGTTGTCAACCAAACTGGGGACAACTCTGGTTTGCTGTTAGAACGATTTTTTTAAACCACTAAACATTATTTTGTTTTTGTGGTATTCCAAATAGATCCACAAAATACATTACCCATGAGCCAGGCGAGACTTGAACCAGAGCATTGTTGCTAATGGGAACAAAAAACACACCACATTTATGTTTCTTTTAAGTTGACCCAGAACCAGGAAGTGAATTGTTCAAAGAGTTTTTTTAAGAGTGTAATGTAAAGGTTTTTGAAATGCACCAACAGAGTTGTAGTTGACTCCTCAATATGATCATTTGTTGGTGTCAATTATGCTTGTGACGTGTCTTGCTTTGTTTAATCTGTACAGTTTGTGTCCATATTAGGCACACTGAATTCATGTTGGACTAGTGAATTTCAGAAGAATGGAGATGCTCTTTGGAATGGCTAGCAGGGTCCATGTTGAAGGTCTGTGCTTTAGACTTCAACTGCGGTTGTATTTTTTCCGTAGTCGCAGGGTTTACGGAGTCGAGCAGAAGTTCATGTTATTGTTTTACCAGAGGGCAACACACACATTCTCCACCCAGAATTCCAGCTCCTACCTCCTGGGTTCCCATGATAGAACAAGAGAAGACATTTCCTTATGGGGACAATAAAGAATTGCGTAACATAGCATATAGCCGTTCCCTTCTGCTTCCAGTTGTTATGCTAATCTGGGTTATAAATCCAGCTTCAAATGGAATGGCCAAGAAACGGATAGAAAGAAAAGTAAATCCTTATATTTCCCAACATATTGAGTTTTTTTTTTTTTGACCTTGTGACTTTTTATCATCCATCCATCCATCCATCTTCTCCCGCTTATCCGTGGTCGGGTCGCGGAGGTAGCAGTTCCAGCAGAGAGCCCCAAACTTTCTTTTCCCTGGCCACATCAACCAGCTCTGACTGGGGGATCCCAAGGCGCTCCCAGGCCAGCGAAGAGATATAATCCCTCCATCTGGTTCTAGGTCTACCCCTTGGTCTCTTCCCAGTTGGACGTGCCTGGAACACCTCCCTAGGGAGGCGCCCACCTCCCTAGGGAGGCGCCCAGGTGGCATCCTAACTAGACTTTTTATCATACAGGAAATTTTTTGATCACAGTTGCAAATTACAGTTCATACTGAAGAAACAACTGGGAGATTCCACAGCCATCCAACCCTGAGAGATTCCAGATTCCCTTTTCTTCACTTTCACATAGAAAAAAGTCACGGTTAAATATATAATATTCATGCAAACCTACAGCACACATCCAGCAATGGCAGTAGCATTATCATGTGATTGACTAGGGACTGATCTCTTCTGTCAGGAGACTGTCACACATCATCAGAGTGATCATCAGAGTGACGGAGCGCTCACCTGCAGAGAGACTCGCTCTGTAGGGACTCTAGTCAAAGTAAAGCCTGTCAGCTGGGACACAGTTATACTGTATAGCACCATTGACAGGAAAACCTGTAGTGCAAAAGCATGTATGTGTGGGAAATGGTGATTATTGGGTTATTCTTTTCAGAGTAACACAGGTTGTTTGATGTTGAGTTGTGTGGAAATGGTCAAACGCATGCCTGTCCAACCTTAAAAAAGACATTACTAGAAAAAATGCATTCTCCTTTAGTGTTCTACAGCAACGTTTGTTCTCCCTGATTACGTTTGTTTTGGACGTTCACACGTACGTTGCTAATCATAGTTTGGGGAGCAAAGTAAGGAGGATGAAGTCAATGAATGCATCAAACCAACACCGGACCCTCACCTGCTGTGTCCTGTGTGGAACCAAAAGCCAGGATTTACCTATTTTTTTCAAATCGTACACAAATTAATTTTGGTAACCCAAGCCATGATCTTTTTTAACCTAACCGAGTCAGTAGACGTTCTGCCTACTGTAAATCTGTATATAAAAATGTATCCGGAATTGGAAAAGGAAAATAGTTTCCCTCGAAGCGTAATTGAGAAAGCCATTTAATTTAATGAGAAATAAGTTTTTTAGAAGAATGTTTTCAGAATGTTTTAGCTGTAGAAAAATGTGATTTTGTTCTTCCGCTGTTTTAAGAAATATACATTTGTTTACGAATTATTTCCATGGTGTTCATGTTGTCGTCAGTGTTTGGTAAAACGTGATCATTTGTGGTGGAATACTTTATATAATTGACTTGATGTTCATGGAATTGTCAATATTGCTATTTTCTTAACAACCCGTGTGGTGGCTCAGTATTCTGTTTTAGACCCGACTTCCTTTCCTCTCAATATGTCGGTTTTCCCTTTGTCCTTGTTTTTTCTTTCTTTCAAAATGCTCTTCTGTCACAAGCTTTTCCTAACTCACTTTGTTCTGCACCAACCTTTCTTCCTACTATTGGTCCTTCTAAATCAGGAGCCTCAAACTACTGTTATCCACAACCCGGCTGATGGAAACAAGGTATCAGCTGAGCTGCTCTGAGGCTGCTGCTGAGTGTGTGCCTTTTTAGGGTAGAGCCTCCATGCTGCTGCTGGGGTTGTGTTTGTGCTTTTGGTGGTCATCCACATGTCATCATGTGACTGAATGCGGGTCAATGCTACTGCTGTGAAATGTTGTATCAACTGTTGCATGTTATACTGAGACTCAACATTATGCTTACACGTGTGTGATTAACTTACTACGCTCAATGTTGATCTATCATGTAATATCTGTAGCAAATGTTTCAACCTACTAAAAAAAACACGTACTATCATTGTAAAATGATACAGTGTTTTATACTTGAGTGACAAAGGGATTATGCATGCTGAACAGAATGATGACCATGCAATACCATGGACACCAACGCTCTACAGAATCCCATCTGCCACGTCTGTGCAGATCCATGAATCTACATTTCATGGATCTATACTGTCAGGGATAGACCATGAGATAACAATGTAGGATCATGTGCATGCTTTTGCTTTGTGCAGTGACATGGTGGTGTTGTAGCCCATAGTGTAGCATACAGTGTGTGTTCCTTGGCATAGTAAGTGTTGTAGGGCTGCTCAATTAATCATATTTTAATTGCGATTACGATTATGGCTTGCAAAGATTTCGAAAACAACGTAATCTAAATAAAACGATTATTTTTTTATTATTTTTTTATTTATTTTTAAATACTTTATTTATTTTTAAAGTTTATACTTAAAGTTCAGGGTAATCAACTGTTAAAAACATACTGTTCAACATTTTTTTCCCCAATAAATGGATGTTTTCAAAGTCAATGAATAATCGCGTTTAATAATCGCAATTACAATTATTGACCCAAATAATCGAGATTATGATTTTTGCCATAATCGAGCAGCCCTAAAGCGTTGTATAGCTTTATACAGTACATGAAGAGAGTGTGCGTCTTATTTCATATTCTGCTTTATTTCTTTCTGTGGGTTAATCCTCAAGCAGAAGGATCATTGAGAAAGTGATGTGCCATTTCACATAAGTGTTGTAGATGTTTTATGGATGTAGTTTCAATTCAAAGGATACATTACATTATGTTTTGTCTACTGAAAGTTATACCTGAGATCTGGGAACATGTCAAACAGGTCAAGAATCAAGAACAAGAAGTCAAGCTAATAAACAGTTAATACACTACATTGTGTTTAGTTTTGTTCTCATGGTGCCATTGTAGATATGTTGACACATCTTTGCACATATGGCAATGTGTGTTTGCATTAAGTTAGAAACAGTGTCACCATTTGTAAAATGTGTCTCTTAGTATGTGTCAAATGTCAAAGAAGTGTAGCCAAAATTTTGCAAAAAGAAGTTTTAGATACACTAAATAAACTGGTGGCTTCTTTACAACGATGTTTCTAACCCAGTTAGACTTCATGTAAGCCATCACTGTGTTACCAGATACATAAGGCGCTCTCCAAACCAAACTAAAAGCAGTTCCCCTTTTATCACAGCATGGTTTCTTCATGTTTCCTCTCACCATCTATCTGGTAAAGTTACATTTTATTAAAGGTCCAACCCAATTTAGGATTCAAAAAATGACCTGTTGTGAACCAACAAAGAGCATCAGTTACACTCAATGTCTGTCTTCAGCTTATTTGTGCATCTACTGTCAGCTGGTCATACTCATGTGTCTCTCTGTGGTTCCTCAGGAGTCCAGTGAGAGCGCCAACACCACCATCGAGGACGAGGATGTGAGAGGTAGGAGCTTTACTCTAACAAATATAACTCTGTTAACAGGTTTAACGTCACCTCTTTGGGGGAACTAGCATTATTATTATGTTTAGACATGGTTTCCACCAGAGGCTTTTGGACTGCTGCTTGTGACTGTTTCGCATGAATGTGTCGCATGTTATCTGGATCAGTATCATATATCATGGCAGGATTGATATACCTGCGGGCCCATATTACCCCCCTGTTTGTGCTCATTTAGTGTAACATGGATGGGAATTAGGTCTGTAATGGTAATTGTTTGTGTGGAAGCGTCACAGTAGGAGGTCCGATCTGCACACAGCTTCTCACTGTAAACATGGTATGACACTGCCATATGTGTCACCAAAGCTCAGAGGTTTATTTCAATATGGCGTCATCAAAATGAGTTTAGCAAAACCACCGGATTTGTGTGAAAGTCTCTATGACGAGCACAAATAAAACCTTTGGGAACTTGATGTTCATTTATTGAATAGATTTTGACAGCCGTAACATACATTGCACACAGTAAGCCTATAGGAACATTGTTTATTGTTACTTTTTGTTGTATTCATACTGTTAAATATTTCATATAATTATGCAATAGAAAGAGTTTTACACAAGACACCATTGTAGGGCTAAGAGGTGTTATTTATTTTTATTTTATATTTAGTGTTTGTAATATGTAATATTTGTATTTTTTAATTGTCCTTATTCTCGTATTGAAAATAGTTAATGGTAAAGTTGCCGGTGGGTGAAATGAGTCCCAGCTGTCTTTTTGAACTGTTCTTTACTCACACCAAACAGTGACTCCTGGTGTTGTACCTATTGAGAATCCACAGTATGGACAACATTAACATCAGGTGTAAACGCTCTGACCTCTCCACTCAGGAAGTGGTGCACCGGTTATGAATGCTTCTCAAAAATGTTTAGAAATATCCACAGCCTTAGCCTTCGCCCACTCTGGTGATTTAGCCTCCTCTCAAACCTATTTTTCAAAGTAAATCCAATACCAAAATTCTAGAAGTCGGTGGACACTTGGACAACTTATATTTACAGGAAGTTAAAGTCTATGTCTAAGATATGAGGCAATTAATCGGTGAGTTCCTAAAAATGAACACTCCAAATTGAACCATTTCAGTCAAGTCACTGCTTCTGTAACAAAATAATTTCCCAAATTGGGATCAATAAAGTATCTATCTATCTATCTACTGTATCTAAGTCACATTTTGATGGCAACACAGAAAAACCTGGACTATAAACAGATCTGAGGAAGAGTTAAGGCTGCTCTTGTTAACTGTGATATCCCCAGACCAACATCTGATACTCTGCATGACAAAGTGAGGCGAAACAAAAGAGAAAGGTCATTTTTGCTGGACTTCAGCCAAGTTGATGTGATGTTTGTCTCTGAGTTGTCCAACAGGGGGACATTATTAATTATTGTGTGTCTTTGTGTTTTTGTAACTGTTCAAACTGAAGTGACCTTTGATAGAACAGAAAGTCTTTCAAATGAGATTCAAGTCTCCAAATTGTTTACATTGTGTAAGTGTGTTTATCCTTTGTGGATAAGAATGTATATTTGCCTCCATACAGTACACCACAGGGACATTCAGGGACACGGCCGCTCTTCATTATGACCTCCTTTGTTATTTATGGCTGATTGGAGCCGTATTCAGCGAAGCTAATACACTGCTTTGAAAAAAAATAGGACATGCTATTGAACACTACAAGTAATTGTAGTGTTCAATAGCATGTCCTATTTTTTTTTTCAAAGGAAGACATTTTTACCTCGTCAGGATTTTTATGATATTATCTTTCATATCATACTTTAATACAGATACTTCTCTTTCTTGAATGAATTAATCAGAGCCTGCACAGAGGCTTAGAAGTATTCTGAATTGAGGATGATTTTGATCTTGACATCTTTTGTCCTTTGTTAATGGTCTTGTCTGGGGCAGGAAGTGGGAAGATAAAAGTGCAGGAATTGCAATTTCTTTGATATGACTCATTTGCACCATTGAGAATGATGGATGGTTAATGGCTTCCTGTTAGTTTCTTATTTTCTCTACACTAAAGGGTTTTAGTAAAGTGGAAACTATGTGTTGGTTTGGTGGCTTTGTGGAAAGGGGGTGGTTGGGGGCAAATGATTTCCACAGAAGAGGATTTGAGTCCAGCTGTTGAATATAAGTCCAACTCTCACTTTGGTTACCACCATCTTAAGAATTCTAGGGCTTTCAAAAATGGTCATTTCCTGCATGCCTTTCATTCATTCTCCATCTCATGTTTTTCCTTTTCTCCATTTCATGTCTTTCTGTCTTTCCTGCTTCGTCCTCCTCTTCCTCTTCACCCCGTTTCATCTCAGTAAAAAGTGCCTCGCCCGGCCCTCAGATCTATCTCCTTAAGGATGTAGAGCAGCCCACCTTTCACATGCCTCCCTTCCCCTCCTTCTCCCCCTCCCCCTCCCCTTCCTCCTCTTCTTCTTCCTCCTGCTGGTACTCTCCCAGCGTTTGGCCCCCTGCTGAGGAGTGCTTTCAGTACTTCCTGTTGGCTCTGTGGACGGCCTACCTGCTCCTCTTCTTCACATCTTTCTGTCTGTTGCTTTTCTCTGACCATTTCACCACATGCCACTGTGGCCCCCACCAGGGGCCCGGCACCCAGCACGCGGTGCCCCTGCCCAGCTTGGGCCCCGCTGACTCCCAATGTAAGTCCATTTCCCAGAGTTCCCTCTCCCTTTGACATTTAGAAGTAATTGAATATATGTGAGGAATTGCCAAAAATGTATAATTAGTTTTACTTTATAGTTTATGTATCACTTTATCTTTTTAACACTTAAATCCATAGTCATAAAGTATTTTGGGAAATAATCAATTGCTATTTTCTAAATTTCTTTCATATCAGTTATTTCACCTATATTATAATACACCCCATTTCATCAATGTTACACTGTTATTAGACCTATTTGACACCAATGTCACACCCCTATCACACCATGATTACACTCATTACATCCATTTCACACATGGACACATCCTGTCAAATGACTGCATCCCCCAAGATACAGAAACCATTTAAGGGTTCAAAGTATGTCTGTTTGGTTTTTCTATTAAGTCTAATTATCATTTATTGAATGTAAAAGTGTCTGTTACAGGGCCTAGCCAAGATGTGTATATTCCCTGTGAGGGTGCGTCATTTAGAGTAGACCCATCAAAAAGGGTTAGAAATGTAAGGAGCAATGTCAAAAGTGAAGATGATGTTTGACGCTTGGAAAAGCTCTTCATAGCAGAAGGCTTGTTAATGAGTGGTCAGACGAGTGGATGACAGCATCAACGTAAACAATTTGCTCACAGAGAAATGTGCCCCCAGCCTCTGGACGTTCCCCGGGTATTGATAGGGTAAAGAAGCCATCAACAATACGGAAAAGAAGACGGAAGACCCTTTTTTTTTAAATCCTCATGAGGAAATTCAGTTTCTTGCTCTGTTAATGCACACAGTACAAATACACATATGCAGGGACTTGTACACATCAAGTCTGAAAACACATGCACAAACACACAGCCATTTATTATGGAGAGGTCCCAGAGCAAACAGGCTGCCAGGGAGCAGTTGGGGGTTCGGTGCCTTGCTCAAGGACACCTCTCCAGATACCAGTCCACACTCTGTGCGATCAGGACTTGAAATGGCGACGCTTCAGTTTCCAAGCCAAGTATAGACTGTACACACACTGAAACAACTGAAGCGTTGACTCTAATTACATTTCTTATGTCAGCAATTGACACATAACTCCATTAGGTTAGTTGAAAGGAATAATATTAAGTTTAAATAAAAAAAGGTTTCAACTTAATATTATTGCTTTCAACTAACCAACTATATATATATATATATACACACACACTTGTGTGACATTTTTTTAACCACACCTCAGCTGCTGTGAGTGCAGAGCTGCTGCCTCACAGCGCCCCCCACAGGTCAGAGGCTGTAACTACACCAGCTGGGTTTAGGTTGGTGGTTCCATGCCTTTATGTTTGTCACCTCACACCAGGCACCGTCTGACTCACAGGCATGGCCTTTGTTTGGCAAAGTTTTCTTTTTACAAAATGTTTTTCAAATAATTTAAAGATTATTTCACAAAGTAACAATGGCTTTGTATAAACTAAAACATTTTCACCATCTTACAATTTTTAAAGCAGTTAGTAATTAGTTGTTGGAGTCAAGCTTTGAGAAAGCAGATGTAGAAGAAGTCTTTGAACTGCTTGAATTCCGAACTGAAGAAACAATGACTCAATGTATGGTTAGGATGAGTTAGAAATCAAATCACTTTTTAATCAAACCAAAATGTGTCTGTAGCACAGAGTATTGAGCATTGGTAAGGTACTGAATGCTGGCATTGAAAGTGTTAGTCATTTTGCAGTTTATTGCTTAAATGGAAATATTGCACACTTTTGTTAAGGCTTTTTCTGTTATGAAAAAAAATAAGGAAAGTTAAGTTACTGGCCATAGTATTAGTTTCGGTCTTCACAGAAATATCTGCATTCTGCTCATTTGAGATGAAAACAGGAGCACAACAAATACTACAAGAAAAGTACTTGATTGTGTTTGTGTGTGACCCATCATCTCTTCATGCCGTAACGGTACACGGTGTTGTAGTCTTACTACTGCTCAGTTTCTCTGTATTTATCACCATCTGCTACGTGTGTTTCTGTCCAATAGTGTGTGTGTGTGCTAAGCCTTCAACTTTCTGTCCGTGCTCTTATACCAAATCCCAAAGGAGACTTTTTGCTATACCGCTCAAAAGGCATTATTTCCACTCCACATGTACAGCGGAGCATGAGCATATTGTCCAGATATAATCCAAGCTCTTCTTTCTGCTTCTACTCATATTTCACTCTGACTGGCTGATAAACACCATGAAAAACCTGTCCAGTTACTATCAGGCAAGATCCTATTTCCTCTGTTATAACGTATTGTAACGACAGGAGGAGTGAAACACCAAAAAAAAAAGATTTGCCACGTCGTCCTCTGCTTTGTTTGTCAGTTTAGATGATGGAGTTGGGTTTAAGTTGATCTGTGATATTATTACTACCGTTGCAGTTCCAGTAGTGGAACAATTGTTCAAATAATATAACTTAAATAAAACCATAGATTTACTACAGAAAAACACTCATTTTCAAAGATAGTCCTACGTTTAAAGGTTTCTTTGCATACAAATGTAACAAGTGGAAGTTAACATCAAATAAATCTGACAACAAATGTGGCTTACATCAAATGTTTGTCACATTCACAACCTTGATAAACCTATTCTCTGAGCAGATATTTGCCCAATGAGATCACATTTTTTAAATTCCAAGGTGAGAAAAATATGTCAACAATTACTGTTTGATTAGTTCAACGCAAAATAAAACGGTGAATTTGAAAAGCGTAAGAAGCGATGCAAAATGACAATTGAGTCTATCATTGAGCTTGTTTGAGCTGAAAAAATATTAGGTTCAACTTAATATTATTGGATTATCCATCCATCCATCCATCTTCTCCCGCTTATCCATGGTCGGGTCGCGGAGGTAGCAGTTCCAGCAGAGAGCCCCAAACTTTCTTTTCCCTGGCCACATCAACCAGCTCTGACTGAGGCGCCCAGGTGGCATCCTAACTAGGTGCCCGAACCACCTCAACTGGCTCCTTTCGACGCGAAGGAGGAGCGGTTCAACTCCGAGTCCCTCCCGGATGACCGAACTTCTCACCTTATCCCTAAGGGAGACACCAGCCACCCTGCGGAGAAAACCAATCTCGGCCGCTTGTACCCGCGATCTCGTTCTTTTGGTCATGACCCATCCTTCATGACCATAGGTGAGGGTAGGAACGAAAATGGCGCGGTAGACAGAGAGCTTTGCCTTCTGGCTCAGCTCCCTTTTCGTCACAACGGTGCGGTAAAGAGACTGCAGTACCGCTCCCGCTGCTCCGATTCTCCGACCCATCTCACGCTCCATTGTTCCCTCACTCGAGAACAAGACCCCGAGATACTTGAACTCCTTCACTTGGGGTAAGGACTCATTCCCTACTTGGAGTGGACAGTCCATCGGTTTCCTGCTCGAGACCCTCTGCCTTCACTGCCACCCTTCTGGCAGCGCACCCGACCCCATCGCTGTTTCCCATAGGTGGTGGGACGGAGAAGCGGAGGTGTTGCCCACGTCGCCTTTTCGGGCTGTGCCCGGCCGGGCTCCGTGGCAAGCCCGGCCACCAGACGCTCGCCGACGAGTCCTCCTTCTGGGCCTGGCTCCAGAAGGGGACCCCGGGCTTCCTCCGGGCCGGGTATCCTCACTTCGTGTGTCGTCTTTCATGAGGTCTTGTGAACCAATCTTAGTCTGGCCCCTTGCCTGAGACCAATTTGCCATGGGAGACCCTACCAGGAACACAAGGTTCCAGACAACACAGCCCCCAGGTTCATCAGGGCACACATTATTGGATTAAACTAACCTAATACAGTTATGTGAAAGAAGGGATAATCTTACACAAGAAGCTTAATAATAGTCAGTTTAAGCAGTTCAAAACAGAACATCTGAAGTGTTGGCATCTAGACATCAAGACATCAAGACTCGCAAACAGCACTCGCTCTGATGTGTGTTTTTTAAAGCGGACAAAGCGTATGACACGTTTATGTGCAGTTTTGTAAGTGCACCCAAAAGGCCCCATTATCAAACTGATAGTGCCTCTGTAAACATAGTCAGCACTGAGTTTCTGTTTGTAAAGTAAAGTCCACCACATCATTTCAGCAGCGTAAGGCTTATTTTAGCCAATCAGAGGAGAGCACTGTGGTTGTAGCCAGCTCTTCCCTCTGCTTTGTAAGTCCGTCTGAGGCTGCAGCTGCACGTTTCAGTCTCCAACAGAGCGCTAAGTTAGAGGCAGCATGTTTCACCTTCCTGCAGTTAGTTTGTTGGTCCTCCTGTCACTGGAGGGGATCAGTGCACAGCTGGAACGGACTGTAAGTGTGCAGTTAGCTGGAGACAACAGTTCAAGTCCAGCTGTTGCAGGTAAACGTGTGTGTGTGTGTGTGTGTGTGTGTGTGTGTGTGTGTGTGTGTGTGTGTGTGTGTGTGTGTGTGTGTGTGTGTGTGTGTGTGTGTGTGTGTGTGTGTGTTCCTTGACTTTGATTGTCATAACCATAGTGTAAATGTCAGAAGTGGGTGTGCCCTTACCAAGCATACAACAGCACTTATGCTTTCAATTCATTGTTTCCTAGCTTACCTACTTAGCATGAAAGGTGATGTTAAATGTTGAACCATGCTCACTAATTTTCTACCAGTCCTTCTGGTGACCTCAGTACCTAAACGTTGTGATTCTGCGTCGATGTCGTCGTGCATTTTTACATTGCCATTTGAACCTTGAGTTGTGCTTCTTTTATTTTTGTTATCATTTAATTTGTATCTCATTTAATCCAACAGCCCTTTGTTTTCCTGTCTCTGTGTTTCAGCTCGTAAGCAGGAGATCATTAAAGTCACCGAGCAGCTGATCGAGGCCATCAACAATGGAGACCTGGAAACATACACGTTAGTAACTAGTTACTATTAACCTCAACTATCTGACAGACTTTAAATGTTATTCATTTCTAACTCATGCACTGTACTTAAGTTCAATTTTAGTTGCTTGTACAGTACATTTGAGTATTTTCACGTTATACTACTGTATACTTCGCTACATTTATAAAAAAAAAAAAAAAAAAAAATGTTTTACCCCATAACATTTTTAACAGATTTAGTTACTAGCTTCTTCAGGTATGGATTTATAATACAGAATATGTATTATTATAGGTTAAGATACTCGGCAGGATACCAAGTAATTTAAATAATCCCCAATTTTGAATGCAGGAGGGAGTATTTTTACAATGTAGTATTACGACTTTTACTTGAGTACCTCTTTCCCATGGGTTCCACTCTAAATGTTCCCCTGACTCTGATATTTGTGCCTGGTGTTGTGTTTCAGGAAGATCTGTGATCCGGGGCTCACTTCCTTTGAGCCCGAGGCCCTGGGAAACCTGGTGGAGGGAACCGACTTCCACCGCTTCTACTTTGAGAACGGTAAATAACTAAAGTGAACACATGGTAACTGTAATAAAAGCAATAATTATTACAGTAGGTTCATTACAGCAGTACTGGGCCGTGCATTTCACACATAGGCCTTCAGTAGTGTTCAAATAAATCCACCTCTCAAAACCATTATTATGACGTTGTGGCCATAGAAACCATTAATATTGTACAGAAACGCAGTATAACAGGGTGTTGAATCACAGACAGGTATCTAATGTAGCGAGAAAGAGTGCCATTACTAAAGTAAGAAACCCGATTAACATAATTCAGTCTCCTTTCACTGCAGCCACATACATCATCTATAGCAGAAGCATCAATATTTATTTAATGAAATGACAAGAATTATTATTTTTTTTAAATAAAAGTCATTGTAGCCTATACTCACCAATACGTTTGATTATCTCTACACCAAATCCCTCCCCCTTTCTCTGTTGTACAGATGATCTGAGTTTTCAGTTCCAATGATAAGTCCTGTTCTATCACCATGGAGGCTAATGCTAAAGTCCGGTCTGTCCAGTCGTATTTCTGGTAAAAACTATAGTGGAGCTCCGTTTCCCTGTGCACTTGCTCGTTAAGCTGTAGATCCACTCGGGCCTCCCCAAAAGTTTTCAAAAGTACCATTGCTTGCAAGTATCCAGCAGTGATTTGTCAGTGTTTGTATCTATCAGTGCAGATTGTTTTGCTTTAAAGGACACCTATTATTCAAAATCCACTTTTTCATTGATTGTATCCATAAACATGTGTCCCCTCTGTGTGAAGAGACTCTGAAACAGGAACAAAGACCCCTGTTTATTTGTCCTGATCCATCTTTATGTACCTGTCTGAAAATGAGCTGATCAGATGTTGGTCACTTTGTAATGTCACAATGTTTGTTTGGGTTGTGCAACCACTAGCCAATAACCAACCAAGGTAACCCCCCCCACACACACACAATTTATCACCTGAATCTCCCCCTAGAGCACCATTGTGTTCTTTTAAACCAATCATCTCTCAGAGGGGCGTGGCCAGCAGCAGCTCATTAGCATTTAAAGCTACAGACAGAATCAGCAGCTGATTCTGTCTGTAGCTTTAAATGCTAATGAGCTGCTGCTGGCCACGCCCCTCTGAGAGATGATTGGTTTAAAAGAACACAATGGTGCTCTAGGGGGNTCAGAACGGATACACTCCTCTCCACATCGCCGCTAAGAAGAACCAGATGGAGATCGCCACGGTGCTGCTGCAGTACGGAGCGGACACCAACATCCTGACCAAGCAGGGGGTCACCCCGCTGCACCTGGCCTCTCAGGAGGGCCACGCCCACATGGCTGCCCTGCTCATCAGCAAGGGGGGGCAGGGCAACGTGCAGACTAAGGTACTGACAACAATAAGTCATTTCTAAAAATAATCCTCAACATAAAACAACATCGCAAGTGTTCATTAGCTTATTTTAAGAGGAAGAACAACAGAGTGCTGTGAATGTGTCCGTCTGAATATATGAACTGTTCCGTGTGTTCCTCCTGCAGAGCGGCCTGACGGCCCTCCATCTGGCCGCCCAGGAGGACAGAGTGTCTGTTGCAGAGCTCCTGGCCAGAAACGGAGCCAACCTCGACCAGCAGACCAAAGTAGGAACATTCATTTGCATTTTCTGCATTTATAACTCAGTCATCTCCCATTCTGCTCAAATGATCAACAGTGTTCCTACCAAGTCCCTCCAGAAATGTATCTTTTTATTATTATTCTTAATAGGGACATTTTTGCTCTTGTTTTGCAGTTGGGATATACCCCGCTAATTGTAGCATGTCACTATGGTAACGCAAAGATGGTCAACTTCCTGCTTCAGAATGGAGCCAGTGTCAACGCCAAGACCAAGGTACTGAGCCTACACCTCTATTATCTGAGCTACATGGAGCATTCATTGATTCATATTTATGCTGTTATTGTGTTCCACTGTTATTACTTATAGCATGCTGTTACTTCATTTACATCCACAAGGAAGTGTCCTCATCACACCAAATCTTTTGATCATAATAACCATATATTGTAATGTAAAATGAGTTTCTTCCCTCATATTGCTACACACCACATGTATCTCTGGTTACTATTGTAAACCTTGGGTTACTTTTCATTCAAACTTCACTTGTTATTATATCGAGGCTGGAACATACTGTATAGAGACTAGATTTTTGTTATAATGATGCAAACATTAATCGGTTTATTTCCCCAGGATCGTTTTATTTCACAAACAACCCATTTTTCTCAGCGACCTTAAAGTTAAACATCTGTTAGAATCAAAACAAACTATGGTTCATGTTTTCTAAAAACTATTCAGATTTTTGGATTTATTTTCTGTATTCCTTCCTTTTCAGAATGGATACACTCCCCTCCACCAGGCCGCCCAGCAGGGGAACACACACATCATTAATGTGCTGCTGCAAGGTGGAGCCAAGCCAAACGCCATCACAGTTGTAAGTGAACACACACACACACACACACACACACACACACACACACACACACACACACACACACACACACACACACACACAACACATTACTGTAACTCTTAAATGGTTTCTGTATTGTGGGAGAAACAGGGTGTACGAGGAAAGGCATTAAGTGGGTGAACTCTGAAGGGGGATGGGTCAAGTACTCAGGTCATGTGACTTTATGTCAAAAAAATAAATGTACTTATCATTTGTATGAAAGTCAAAGATGGGTGTAATATGGATGTATTGTATGTTCAACATGGGGGTGATTTAGGGGGGTGGATGTGACAGGGTGTAATGTGAGTCTATGTGTGTTACATTTGTGCAATATGGGGTAATGTGAGAGTAACATCAGTATAATATGGATTTATCATAGTTGAAACATGAACTGTATGTTACATGTGTGGACTTTGGGTGTAATATGGTTTCAATACTTTATCAAATATATATCATAAAGAGTCAAATCACATTTTTTTTTAAATCATGAAATTCTGTTATTTTAAACTAGAATTTTTGATTACTGGTACAATCATGTATTTTGGAAATAATAAATGTATTTCTTATCTTATTCTAGGGGAAAACATATTTGAAATTAATGTCATCAATATTGTAGAACAAAAAAAATGTGAATCTATTTTAAATCAACATTACGCAAGTTATCCGGAAATAATGACAAATGTATCCATTTCAACAGAACAAGGTGAAGTATACTGTAAGTGATAAAACACCCACCATACCCAATGACATGCAATTCACAAAGCTAACAAAGGCAAACAAACTGTAGAGGAGGTGCTTCCTGTGGTTGGGATCATTTCACTTATCAAGATCTTTTTAAAATGACCAACCAAAACCGTATCGTGCCATAATCATGTTTTATCACTTTTAAACTGAATGCCAAGGACGTTAAGTTGTCTTTAATCACAGTTTCAACACTTTTTAAATGGCTACATTTGATGTGAAGCAGATCAAGTTTAACTACAGTATCTGAAATGACAATGCAGTTGAATCTCTCTAAATAGTTCAAACAACCACCAATTACAACATTCAAGCAGGAGGATGTACTGCTCTCAGCTGGGTTTAGCTAACCATGGTGTGAAGTGTGATGAACGTTCCTCTTTCTCTCCTGCTGCAGACGGTGACGGAGAAACACAAGCTGAACGTTCCGGAGACCATGACTGAAGTGCTGGATGTGTCCGATGAAGAGGGTGAGTCATGTTGTACAGAGCATTCGATTTTTAGCCAATACTATAAAATGTGTTTTATTATGAATTTTATTTTAGAGCTATACATGAGTGTATTTAATTGTACAGTGCTATGAGTACATTATACCACATGTAAATATGTGTATAAATAATGCATTATAGACATAGGCGTCAGAGAAAGTGTTAATAATAATAATGAGACATTGGATTTCCAAGCACCTTATCAGGAGCTCAAAGACACTTTACAGTGGTCAAAATGTATAAAATAAAAAAGATAAAAAGCCACTTTAATTAGCCCCTGTGTGAGTGAAAAGACAAAAATATACCCAGCCCAAAACCCTTCCACTTTATCACACATTGTTATTAGTCTGCAAAAAAGACCATTACATGAACTCAATTTTGAGTGAAGCCCACTGTCTCCTTGTTGAGATGAATTCAGAGGCGTTTCCTGCCATGAGCAGACTGTAGGAGGTAGTGAGTGACTGTGCTGTGCCCTACAGCTCTGAGGTCCATTGATGATGATGATGATGATGATGATCATGATGATGTTATGTCAGAAGACGACATGGATATGGAAGGTATTCAGCACGGTGCTTTGTGTGAGGACTTGCTGTGCTGATTTTCCAAGGGTGTGTGTGTGTGTGTGTGCGTGCGTGTGTTTGTGTTATGCATGGTGAATGAGCCTGTAGCAACCTATATAACTGTAGTTTGATATTTGGATACCAATAGTGTAAAATAAATGGTTGAAGTTGAACTTTATCATGGTCTTTTTATAATAAGGCTCAGAGCATATTAACACATGATTTGTTAAATGAAAATGTATAAAGAAACAGTTTTGGGAAATGCACTTTGATGTTTTCTTTCCAAGTTTGGGTTGAAAAGATAAACATCACTCTCATAATAATAAGTAGACTAGAATGTTGTTTTGCGTGTTCGTATTATTTCAAAGTGTAGAAAGCTACTTTGTGTAATGTACTGAACATGTTTGTCCCCCAGAGAACATGGAGAGGATCAGAGCAATACACTGAAAATACTTTACACATGTTGTTCCGCTTCAAAGCTCATATCTAACCCCACGATAATACATGACCACATCCTGACTCCCTGGAATGCTGCTTTACTAACGCAAACCAAGCACGTGTTAGCAATACAGATATGTTTGTGGTAGTATCAGGCGACTTTGGAATAACATTCACTGTTTTATAGCCATAATTATAGTGTTTTTTATCATTTCAAACACAATAGTGACCAACATTGAGGAGAAAGTTAAAGAGACGGGAAACTCAATGCTTGAATACCTGGCTTGAACTAAACATGAAATAGAGTGCATCTGCTGCAACATGTATACATGCTTTATACATGAAGTGTTTTACAGTATGTTCCCCATACTACCTGTGCTGCAGCAACTCATGTGTTGGAATGTCCCGTCCTACAGCATATCACCTATATTGTGTTGGAGACCTAGCTAATCTAAGTCGAGTGTTACTTAGCAATATCACTATGTTCTGGAAGTAAACAAAGGAGTCCAATGGAGCCGTTTCAGGCAGGGGGGGGGGAGTGTGTGCGAGAGAAACTCCCACATGAGGGAACACAGGGAGTTTAGCGATTTTAACACTACAAACTCAATTTAAGCAGAAGACATTTTAGTTGGTACTGTATAGTGGTAAAAGTACAGGTTTTGCAAGATAAACAATGGCTCTGCCCTACTCAAGTGTCAAGTCAACAGAACGGGAACCTGAAGCGGCTAAATGGAATGATTGATATGTACACCTGTACTCCTCAGACATGTCAGAGTCCTTGTTCTGTCATTACTGAGGGTGGACAATTGGACAAATATAGCACATTTCTGCCACTTCCAAAAAATCCACATCTTTTTCTTCTTCATTATTTTTGTGATATCATGACATGTAATAATCAGATTGTTGAATATACATTTGAGTCGATTTTTTTTTACAACAAACACCAAAAAGCGTTTTAAAGGAAAATGGTTAAACTTTTAATTATTTCTTTTTTGGTTGCGTAAATAATAATTACATTTGCAGATATTTCATTATAAGTTTACATTATTATTATTATATCCTTTATTAATCAAGGTTCCATAACTATGTTATTATGTTTCTTTATTATGTGTCCTTTTTGATGTATTATTATTTAATCTCTGCTCTTCTCTCTGCTCTCTCAAGGTGATGACACGATGACAGGTGACGGGGGGGAGTACCTGAGGGCGGAGGACCTCAGGGAGCTGGGAGACGACTCCCTGCCAGGACAGTACCTGGATGGGATGAACTACCTCCGCTTCAGCCTGGAGGGGGGGCGCACTGACAGGTACATCTCACTCTGTCACATTTCAACACTTCCATTGGGTCACAAGTCATGATTAAGAGGGATTAATTTCTTATTTAATGAAAACCCTACTCAATTGGGCCTTAAATGACCTCAGGAAAAGCTTTCATTTCAACTAACAAATGGTTGTGGCAGATCCCATGTGTTCTGAATTTACGGAAATTGTTCCTGCATGATTGGCTCTGACCCATGGGACTGTGAGCAAGCATGTCCTATATTATCTTAGAGCTCTGGGTGGCATGTAACGGGCAGCAGCTGATTTTAGCTGATATGCTGCTCAATAACAACATTTAAAATCAATGATTTAATGTCTTAACCTGGGCTCCATCTGATTCAACAAACATGTTAACACTCATCTGCTTCATGCAAAAACCTGTGCTTATCTGCTCTATGTAGCAAACAATTGTTCCCTATGCTCCATACACATCCGACACATCTGATCCAACATCTGATACACAGTTATGATTCTAACTCTTTAACCCTGATCCTGACTGAACACTGATACTTTCTGTGTTCTGTTGTTCTAATTGTTGAATCACTGTGTGAGCCACCTGTCCTCTCCCAGACATTAACCTCAACAACTAACTGCCTGTATTTTTATATTTGTGTTTGTGTGTGGGTGTGTGTGTGTGTGTGTGTGTGTGTGTGTGTGTGTGTGTGTGTGTGTGTGTGTGTGTGTGTGTGTGTGTGTGTGTGTGTGTGTGTTGCAACCTATCCTGCTCATACTTCATCGTTGGTCTCCCTGTCATGCCTTCTTAGTCGAATGCAAAGGTATGTTCTGACACCGACCACAGGTCTTCAGCCTGCAGTATCATGGTCTCCTGTAGCTGAGACAGAGTATTGAATTTTAGTTTTTTAAGCGAGTCAGAGTGAAATTATAAATGTCCTGCCTTAAAGGGAAAGATTATTAAACAACCTTTTTTCAGGGCTGTGTCCTAGAGCCATTTGTGAAGTGCCTACCAACCCACACACTACACAACCCAGTCAGCTGTTATGTGGGCTGCCAAGTTGTAAAATATGGGATTCAGATTTGGCTCTCCTTCTGATTCCACATGCACAGTACGCTTACTCAAAATAAGCCATTATATATATACCAATCCCGCACACCCCCCTCAACCACCTTCATCTGAAGTATCTCCACCAACAGCTTGAAATGATCGTGATATTCCCTTTTTGGCAGTGTTGGTCTCTACTTTTTCTGAAACATGGCATTTTGTACAGTCATGGACCCCAAAAGTTGAATACTAATTAATGACAACCTCAGTTTTTTTTTTGTAAAACTAGTTCAATCATCCGGTGAAAACTAGTTTTGGTCTAGACTTCAGGAGATCTAGTACCTGCCTAACAACATTCCCATTAGACTCAGCTGGGTATTGTTATAACTGCTAGTTTTTTTACAGAACCAGTGTAAAACCTTACAGTAGTGTATCTGTAGAGTCGTAGCTGTGTGCTATATGTGTCTGTTAAACTAGTAACATGTCCTAAGTGTGTGAGACAATGCTAGTTTAGAAGCTGTCAATATTTTATTTTGGCAATGTTTCTGATTGTGTTAGCAGTGTGTAGGGTTTAGGGGGACCAATGTGAAACATCATTGTTGCATTACCATCAACATTTAAACATTTTAAACACAATGCATGTGTAATGAGTGTTTTCACTAACAAGAGTAGTTGTGCCTCATTGGCATTCATATGCTTCAACTTTTTTCCCAAAAGATGTTGATAATTCTTTATTTTGAACATTTTTCCCTGTGGTGGAATTGAAATGAAAGTGCATATTTTCCCTGTTTTCGTTCATGGCTGTGATTTCTGCTATTATCATGACTTCAAGCTTCTTGAATGCTTTTCCTCTCCTGTGCTCCAGTTCTGACAGGTCCTTCACACCCACACACCACAGCTACTACTCGCCTAAACATGAAAGCATGATGGACGAGATGCTGACCTGTCACCAGGTAAGGTGTATGGTCAGTGGAGTCACTAGCACTGCAGGCGGAATACACCTAAGATCCACATCATTGTGTTTGTTTGGCACATTTGTTATATGGTGTTATTTGTATAAGGAATGGACTGTACATTTACCTACAGTATGCACTGCACCACTTGGATGTACTTACTTGAATCCTTCTATTTCTACTCTACTACATGTATCCGTCTGTGATAGATACCGGTCAATCTAAAGATTTGAGTTTTGACTGAGCCCTTACATTAAGGTGTAAATGAATAACATGAAAGGACACTTTGATTCACCACCACTAGTAAAACAAATACAACGCTATGGATAAGTTAAAGAGGTTTCCTAAACCGCAAACAAGTCCGATTTCCTTAGTAACCCTAGATATACTATCACATGAAATATGCAGAATCTCCCTTTTTTCAGTTCATATTGATATATTCAAAACAAGCTTGTATGTGTCTCATAAGAGGTTAAGTGCTTCGGGATTTGTCTTGGCAGATGAGTAGCGCTATATCAATTCAATTTATTATTATTTTATTCCAGGTTTCGACACTAGCTAGGACGAATGAGAGCGACTCGTATCGTCTGAGTTGGGGCACAGAGAACCTGGACAACGTGGCTCTGTCGTCCAGCCCCGTCCACTCTGGGTAGGTACAGTGTGTCAGACTGTGGAAATGATTCATACGACTAGAAGTGCACTTTGAGTGGACATGTTGAACACTGGATTTCCCTCATGAATATGCATTAACAATCTCATCAAGGTCCTGATAGCTGCTAATGTGTCTGATGTGCTTAATTACATGTAATCATAGCATTTCTCACTCGGCAGCTGTTTCAGGAATGTATTCAGTACTGCACATGAAGAAATGAACCATACCTCTCTTGTTCCTAAAGTTTGGTTTTAAGAATGATTATAAAGTAATCGGCACTGTAAGCCTCAAAATACATTATTTTTGGTTTTATTCCAATTGAAATGTTCTTTTCAAAATCCGTGGCTTATCTAAAGAAAGAAATGTGGTTGTATGTGATTGTCTTCGCTCTAAAAGTGTGGATGCAGTAACACATTGTACAGGGTCGTGCTCAAAAAAAGCATTCAAAGGTTCATCTCGGAGCACCAGGAATGTTTCTTCCTGATCTGGATTAAAAAAACAATAGTGAAAGAAGCAGTATTTCTGCTCTTTCTGAGTCTGACATGAGAAGATGTATATCAATCTGAGTCTGACATGAGAAGATGTATATCAATCTGAGTCTGACATGAGAAGATGTATATCAATCTGAGTCTGACATGAGAAGATGTATATCAATCTGAGTCTGACATGTACTGCTCTGTGTCTCTTTTCCTTCTTCCTGTCTGCTCCGTTTCCTCTGAGTCTGACTTTTCATTCCTCTCTGTCTGATGTGGTTGTTGCTTTTAGCCGTTCCTCCCCGTGCCATGAACATGGAGACCACTGCAGGTGATCTTCTGCACCTTGGTTAAATATTTCTCCACCTCATCTTCATCGTTCTCTTCCTCCCCTCACAGTGTGCTCTCCCGGTGGAGAGGTGTTTTCTGTCACTGTCCTCAACACACATTGCCTCATAGACTTTTTTGTCCGTCCACAATATGTCAAACCATTTTAATCTGACATAACATCTATTTTCACATTCCGAGTCCCAGAGTTAATATCTCTACACGGGCATATCATGTTACAAATAAAGTTTAAAAAAAAACAACAATAAATTGTGGATAGCTGGACAAAAGAAGGCAGTGAAAGTTAAGGACATGTTTGTGGATGTCATACAATGTCTTGTCGATTGTGCATCTCCACTAACTTACCCAGACCTGAGAAATATGTTGGCATAGGATAACTATTATTATATAAAGTCATTTGTATATTATATACCATACAGTAAAATGTAATCTCTGTCAAGCTGAAACTTTACTGTTATAACGTTTTAAATGAGACCACCCATCAGCAATGGAGAGGAGACACATTCCTTTAACAGTTCACTGGTTTTGTTTCTGAATACATTAACTCCTGTTTTTATGTCCATGTGTGTTTGTTAAAAACTGTGTGTGCTTTACTGAAAGGTACAGGAAAGTGTACATTATAACTGAGTAATGATCAAATAGTACACATCACATCATCTCACCCATATTCCCGCTCTTTGGGATGTGTGATCCATGTGTATTTGCCACTTTGCATGAGGAGTGGCTTAAGGCTATGAAGTCAAAAGATTTATAGCGATGAATTGTGATCATAATGGCCATTCAGTGTTGAGAAAATAGACACCAAAAATACGGCTTTTTATATTTATGGTTAGTTTATCAGTATATATTGTTATTTTAATCCAACAAATCTTGATTTTTGAATTTTTTGAAGAAAAATAAAAAAAACGTTTGTACATTTTTGTGAAATTGACATTTCTAGCTACAGTACTGTAGCAGCTGAGTTCTGAACTTTATATATACAGTCTATGGTTCTGAGCCCTTTTTAGGCCATTCTTCTTTTAAAAATAGCATTGGACAAAACATGCTTTAAAACAATTGTTCTGATAAAGACTGTATCATTTGGTTCAAAGCTTCAGCACGAGTAAGTCAAGGAACCGTGAGTGTTTCATCAGTAAAAGTAAAATATAAACGTTTTTCTTTCGAGATATTGCTGGAAAAGACCTTAGGCTAACAATCTACGAATTAACGTTGGTGTCTATATTCTCTTCACTTAAAGTGATCATTGCGGACTTTCTTTAACTTGTGTAAATATCTCCCGTTACGCCTCAGCTTCCTGGTCAGCTTCATGGTGGACGCCAGGGGCGGAGCCATGCGCGGTTGCCGGCACAACGGCCTACGCATCATCATCCCGCCCAGGAAGTGCAGCGCGCCCACACGGGTGACCTGTCGGCTGGTCAAGAGGCACCGCCTGGCCACCATGCCCCCCATGGTGGAGGGCGACGGCCTGGCCAGCAGGATCATTGAGGTGGGACCCTCTGGAGCCCAGTTCCTCGGGTAAGGATGACCTCAGGGAGGATGATGGAGAGAATAATACATGAGATAAAGACATAGAGAATCATGAGGGAAGGAAAGGAGAGGTAGAATTAACCATTTTCACTTGGTAAACATTTTAATGCAGGTTTTACACGTGTTTGATTTCATACATTTTCTTAAATATGCATTTGTAGACTTAGAGGGAATATAATTGGTAAGAGTGAAATCAGAAGTATTCTGGAAGAAGCGGTCGGACCTGTTTTACACTGTCTGCACGTTCAGGTGATTGACACTGTTCTGATTCCCTCTCATAAGGATCACACAACCTGCTACCTTTTCCTTTCAGATTCATTTAACCTCTGCCTCTGCATTACTAAAACTATTTCTGCTCTGGCTTTCTTCCAGCACAAGGGAGATGTTAATCTTTGCTCTTCAGCATGCCCTGTTTGATTTCAGCTGCAGTCCAACTCTATTTAACCTTCTCCCTTAACGCTTAATAAAAAACTCTCAATAACCCCACCTCAAGGACATAGATCCATCATTGGTTTGATATGTGGCCTCAAGTTCTGCCCTCTGCTGGCAATGTTTGTAATATTGTAGTATAAAATGTAAATGATGAATTTAGGTTAGAAATTCTAACATTTTCAAAAACTGCAAAATCGCTTTATGGCTTTTATCGAAAAACCAAAGCAATCAAAGTTACTGTAGTGCAATAACAATTGTATTCTAATTTAAATCGACATAAAAACACCTTTTACTACTATACACAATACTTATTTGAATAATTATTGAAAATACACAAATATATAATCATTCAGTTATTATAAATAATCCAACCCATTTTTTCATGTGCTTTAGTGTAAAATAATGTGTGATGAAAATAAAACATTATGAAACAATTGTATGATTGAAAGAATTGCATTGTTGATAAATAATACATATATTATCAGCAAAACATATTTGGGAATAAAAAGTGAAAACTGACAGTAAATTGAAATGAGTTTTTAAGTAATAATAAGGTAAGGTAAGTATTTGGAATTATTTAACTTTTGAACATAATGTAGCCTATAATAATAATAATAATATTACACTTGATTTATATAGCACCTTTCATGCTTGATGCAGCCCTAAGTGCTTTACAGAGTATGACAAAAGATCACAATAACAATAACAAACATAATTAAAATATGTAAAAACAATAAAACATAAGCAAAAATATATTATATTAAATAGTGTGTATGTATTTTTGTCATTATGGATTTTGGACCAAAGTGTGAATCATCTTATTCAACTGGTATTTAAGTCAATCCGTCCCAGTGGTTTTCGTATGTTGAATCCAAACCCAAACGTTGTGTGCTCTTTCTTCCTCACTGCTGCGTATGGATGTTTGGTCGATCACACAGTAAACTGCACCTCCCAAATGCCCCCCCGCCTCTAAATGAGGGAGAGAGTTTGGTTAGCAGAATCCTCCAGCTCGGCCCACCTGGGACCAAATTCCTCGGGTAGGGTGGACAGATTGGTTTTTCATATGAAACAATCCATGGATCCCGTTCCATTTGGTGTTTTCTTTTTGCCTGTAGGTCATTGTGTTGTTTTCTCACACCAGTGTTTCGTACCCCTCTTTATCTGTGCTTATAACCCCTGCAATCACTTTACTGCAGCAGTACTTTGCTTTTCCTTTAAACCCTTCTTCTGCTTAGCCCTTTCCATTTTGAGTTTTTTCTTGCTTCCTTTTCCTTTGTGTTCTTAATCATTTTCTTATTTAATTGTGAAGTGTAAATGGTTGTTTGGCCTAAGAGTAGCAAGTGAACAAAATGGAATCAACAATGGTTTTTGGCAACTGTTGTTGGTTATGTTTTTATCTCCTTGTTATGAAAATGTAAAGTTGATCAGCACATTTTCTAAGAGTTATGCAGTCATGCGTGCTCCTTACTATTAATCAAGCCGGAAAATGATCTTCAAAACCAAATACAAGGTGAAAACATATTGAAAGCTTTGGTTATTTCTTTAGCCAAATGAAGTTAAGTTGAAGGACATGATCACATGACATAAGTTTTAGATATTGACACATCTCCTGCCACCACTAAACAACAACTAAAGTGTGAAGCTGAAGAATGTTAGCTTTACAGTAGCAGGTTTATGTCAACAAAATAATCAGATATTAGAAGCTACTTTCAGGTCAAAGAATCCTCACAATGCCATGTACAAATATCATCAGTCAAGCTTTATAGCTGTATTTGTCCCATGTTCAATGTACATGTAGCATGCCTCCTTATGATATGTGTTGTAGCTAGCTTGTTGTGATTTAGCATATCAGGTAAGTATTCACGTGATATATCAACACTTTAACATTAAATATAGTGTACCTACAAGACATTTTATTATAAGAAAGGTAACTGTAAACATGTGACCCGGTGGGTATATTGACACATATTCACAATAGTGATTACAGTACAATAAGATAGTTAGCAACCAAGATAAGCAGTGGTAAAAGTCTGGAAAGTTGTCCAGATGCTAACCAGCCTAACAATTATATCAATTATACAAGGTAAACTCAACAAGTGTCACCACCTGGGATGGCACTTGCAAACAGAGTACTTTGCATTCCTGAAGTCAGACAGAAATAGTTGATACCCAGCATTTGCTTTATCAATCAGGTAGATAACATCATACACCTGACTACGTTGATCTGAGACCTGTGATGGAAATCCAAGTTTAAGATGCCAGACCTATTTTATATCCACACTTTATAGAACTATTTACATCAATAAATGATGGGTGTAGTACTGAAGGAAGTATAAACAACACTAACGAATTACCCAAAAAATATAACAAAATGTACTGTTGACACAAATAGACACGAAAGACTAATATACATCTTATGGCAATCCTAGCACACACACACACACACACACACACACACACACACACACACACACACACACACACACACACACACACACACACACACACACACACACGTGATCGGAGGCACTTATGTGTTGCTCCCCCCTCCAGGCCTGTGATTGTGGAGATCCCCCACTTTGCTGCCCTGCGGGGGAAAGAGAGGGAGCTGGTGATTCTGAGGAGTGAGACAGGAGAGAGCTGGAAGGAGCATCACTGTGAACACACCCAAGAGGAACTCAACCAAATACTTAACGGCATGGACGAGGGTCAGTCTCTGAGGGTGTGCCAGTAGACCACACCATGACTCTGGGAATTAAAAATGTTATCCCATATTACCACATCATTGTTCCTGACACATGTCCCTCTCTGCCATTCTCCTCCAGAGCTCGACACACCGGAGGAACTGGAGAAGAAGCGCCTTTGCCGAATCATCACTAGAGATTTCCCACAATACTTTGCAGTGGTTTCACGTATAAAGCAAGATAGCAACCTGATTGGTCCTGAAGGAGGAGTCCTCAGCAGCACTGTTGTGCCACAAGTACAGGCAGTGTTTCCTGAGGGGGCCCTCACCAAGAGGATCAGGGTTGGACTGCAGGTAATCAAGAAAAGCAGTGGCATAGTCCATACACCCCTAGGATATATGTTGGAGATGTGGCTTTGTTTCCATGTGTCTTATCATAGCAGTGCATACATGTTCAGATGTCAATCCATCAGAACATCAAAAATAAAAAAGATGAACCAGTGGATGGTGCTAGATGAAAGTCAAAGGATCCCTGTTGTTGTGACCAAAACCCAGGGCAACATAACTGCCTCTATTAGTCAGATAATCTAAGAGAATTCAATCTAAATCAAATCTGTGTTGTTCCAGCCAGATGAGTAACCAAGAGATCACAAACATTGAAAGACATGGCTGTCTGGAAACAATGAATGACTCTGTCTTGTTGATACTACGGTAGATAAGTGTGTAGCAGGACAGGGGGAAAAGTAAACACACTCCTACAGACTGTACTGATTATTATTTGGGGTTAAAAATACAGACATTTTATGTTGAAAGTGAATTGGTTGATTATAATTGTTCCTTTGTAAACTTCAGTAGCTAGGTCACCGGGCTATCCCTCTGTTTCTGCGTGTTTAAGCATATCATTTCTGGTGCCCATATTAAATGTATTCATTCTGGGATAACACCTGGGCTACAATTGAATTCACCTAGTTGTCAGAAGATCAACAAATTCAGCAAAATAGCTAAAATTCATTATTTCAAGACTGGGATATCTGTACAAAATATCATTGCATCTGGGCTCCATTAAAATATTTTTGTTTGTCAAGATGGAGAAGGCTTAAACTATTTCCTGCTAAAAGAACTGCACTTTCAGGCAAATCAATACCATGGACATCTCTGCCAATGCCTGAACATGTGATTACATGGCTGTTTTATTTCAGCAACCCTTCTTTAAGGAGATTATCCTCAGTGCCTGGCCTTATTTTAGGAATCACCCCTGTGTAGGATTTATTTGCAACAACAAATAAGGTGTTGATTACTCTTGTCCACCCTCCCAGGCCCAGCCAGTCAATGTGGATGTAGTGAAGAAGATCCTGGGAAACAAGGCCAGCTTCAGCCCCATCGTCACCCTGGAGCCTCGCAGGAGAAAGTTCCATAAACCCATAACCATGACCATCCCTGTTCCCAAGAACAACTCTGACATGGTTCTCAATGGCTTTGGAGGGGACACCCCCACCTTACGGCTGCTCTGTAGTATCACAGGTTGGTGAACACATGCAGATACACACACATACTGTAACTGTGAATAGACCAACTTCGCACACGCTCACATTCTAATATGTCTATGTTATGCCTGTGTCCATGTGCAGGTGGAACGACGCCTGCTCAATGGGAGGACATAACAGGAACTACTCCGCTAACATTCATCAATGACTGTGTCTCCTTCACCACCAATGTGTCTGCAAGGTAACAGAAAGATAATATCTGTTGAATCACAACAAATGTATCAGTGATTTAAACTGGCTCTGATGCTAACATAGACCTAACTTTGCTGTTTTTCCCAATCCCCTTCTGCTTTCTAGATTCTGGCTGATAGACTGTCGGCAAGTGCAGGAATCTGTTAATTTCTCCACTCAGGTGTACCGAGAGATCATTTGTGTACCGTACATGGCCAAGTTTGTCATCTTTGCAAAGACGCATGATCCCATTGAAGCCCGACTGCGGTGCTTCTGCATGACAGATGACAAGATTGACAAAACTCTGGAGCAGCAGGAGAACTTCATCGAGGTGGCACGCAGCCGAGATGTTGAGGTGAGAAGGAATGTTTCACTGACTGCAGAGGATTGGAAGTGTAACTCACTTTGCATTTAAAGCCTACCATCGGCATGTTGTACAAGCTACAGATGTACGATTGTGCCCTCTCATAGCCCTGAGTACAGTAAACTGAAATACAATACATTGTTGATATGAAATCATGAATAACCCTCTCAAAACACGATTGGATCTCCATAAATGATGCACCCTAGTCTGCAGGTTTGGTTATTTGCAGACAAAGATGGGCCAGTTTAAGTCACAAGAACACCAAGGACATTTCGCAAATATGTTTGCTTCATCATAAAAAAGGTCAAATCTTCCAATATATAAAAGGGTCTATTTTCCTTTGAAAGTTATGTACAAAGGTCAAGGCTAGGGCTTCTGATAAATAGTTAGCACGTGTGGTTAAAACAAAACGGAATTGATTCTCTTGTTGGATGTATGTTGTTATTTAGTCCTCGTTCTTATCTGTGTGTTGTTATATTTGACAGGTCCTGGAAGGCAAACCTATCTATGCAGACTGCTTTGGAAACCTTGTTCCACTCACCAAAAGTGGCCAGCACCATCTCTTTAGCTTCTATGCCTTTAAGGAGAACAGACTAGCACTCTTTATCAAAGTAAGCACTTTACTTAACTTGAAACAAAGAAACCACTAACTTTTTTGTTGTTGCTTGTATGAACAATAATTGATTATTCCGAATTATTGTAATAGCAGTGACTAATGCTGATGCTCTGGGTTTTTGCAGATCAGAGACAACACTCAGGAGCCCTGTGGACGTCTGTCCTTTATGAAAGAACCCAGGAACTACAGGGCACTCACCCAAAATGCCATATGCCACCTCAACATCACCCTTCCATCATACTGCAAGGTAAGTCTGGGGTTGACTCAACAAAAGATGCTTAAGATTGCGTATTTCATATTTAATGACAACATTATTTATATAAATTGTTATTTGTAAGCAGGGCCATACTGCAATCTTGACCCTCTTTTCTCCTTGACACTGTAATATATGCTAATCTTCCACTTGTGAATTATTACACCATTGGAAAAAATTACGCAAAATATGATCTTATTTAATTTTATGTTTTTATACATATCAATGACTGACATCCCAAGTAGTAAACGTTTTAACTCTCTATCCAGGATTAAAGGTTGGTGTCCTTTGATCAGATTTGAAGAAAACTACATGTATTTATCTTAAAGTCGCAGGATTCACTTACCCAAACCAGTAACACGCCATGCTAAAGCGCACATCTCACAAATGATAATCTGATTGAAGCTAACAAGGTTATTTGTTTTACATCTTGAATATTTGTGTCATGCAGCTTTTAAGACCACTCTGGCTTTACTTGAAATCGCACCAGCTGGTTGTCTTCATCGCTATGTTAACCATACACTGCCTCTTGTCTTTTTCTTCCTTTAATATTGCTGTTTCTATCTGCACATCTTTCTGCTTCTCGCTGCTTCTTGCTCCCAAAGGATTCCGATTCAGATCAAGAGCAAGAGGAAGAGGTAAACGCAGCCACTGCTCCCCCTCCTCTTCTACTAATTAGCTCTGCTGATCTACCCTGTCCACTGTCTTGTCATTTTTTAATAGTATAGAAGTACATTTTTGATATATGTTGTTAATTGCAGTAGTGAATTTTCAGTAGCATAGCTGATTGTTGCTGTTATGTCTATCATTTGTTCTTTTCCTGAAGTAGCAGTCATAATGCTAGTAGTACTTTTAAAATATTTGCCACATAAAACTAACTGTGATCTGTTTTCCATGTTGTTTTTCAGACCAGCAGAACGCTTGAGAAATGTAAGACATATTTAACATTTTATTTTCCTCTATAACTACTACTCAAATATTTGCCCTCTATAATAATACTGCATGTCCTTGTTAATGACACTAATATGACAGTAAAGCTGATATTGTATGGATGATTAGTGAAATGTAGTTTAACATGTGTTCAGAGGAATATCCAGTTTGATACACTGACACCCCCCAGCAGAGCCCTTAGATTATTCATAGACCATTTACATCTTTTCAAAGCCTTTTAAGCTTCATGTATTTTTTGTCCTGTCACACAAACCTCCCATGTCAATGTCATGTTTGTCTTAAGGCTTAACTTCATTTTTTACATTCCTTTCTTTACGATTTCACACCTGCCTTTTTGTTTTTAATTGAACTCATTCCCCTTCACAATTTGAGATTGGATATTTGAAGGAAGAGTTAAACTCTACCGTCTAAGTATGTACATGACATTTAAACGCATTCATTCTGTGGTGATGTTTATTTGACAATGGCCTCTGATTCTGTGCTGACTAATGCAGTCATGAGGCCATTTGTGTTGTGCAAATTGTCTAAACAAACAGTTGGAGTGGGGTTGTTATTGTTACATCAGGCAGCACAATTTCACTGGTTTTTGGCATTAAGGAGCTTTTACCTGCTCAGATTACAAGAGCCAGAAGAACAAAGAACAATCAACTTTCTATGGTACAGTATAGAATCAGACCTCTCCCAAAAATCACAAAAAAACGTTTGGTATGTGTATTTATCGAAATTGTACTCTTAATTTAGTCATTTTAAAGTGACATTAAAATACAGCTTTTAATGGCATTTAACGTAGACTCTGCACTGAGTGGATCAATGAGACTTCCACCAATAGTTGTATCCACCACTGCTTGTGGGAAGTATGACTTCCAATCTGTTGCAGTTTGTCACCATCTGGCAGCAAGAAGGGAATAAGAGAATCTTGTACAAAATGGAAGAGGAGATGCAATGTCACTGGACTTCAGCTGCTGATACGGCGTTCCCCATCCTAGTAATGTCTTTGTCCCACTGCAGCCTGCGTCCCAGCGTTGGACTAGCACTTCTGGCTATGCAAATTCCAAACATTAGTTGCTCACGCAACTCGGAAACTCCATGCTAGTGAGATTAGGGGCTGGAATAATAGTATTGCTCCAGTTGTAGTCCTGTAGCGTAATGATAAAGCAAAAAGTAGTTCACCTCCTGACCCACCGTGAATCCTCCCCCTTCTACTTTCCTACCATTGTTCATCTAGTAATGAGAAAATGACTCAAACAGAAACATGAAAAAATAATACTCTGAAAAGCATTTCATAAAAAATCATTAGAGATAGCCCATATTATTCATAAAACTTACTGAATATACATGGATGATATGTTACTGATTAAATGTTCATATATACGTTTTCAGGAAAATGTGTATGTTACTAATACTGTATGTTGTACAGTAGCAGTAGTCGTGTATATGGAACAAGAACTCACCACATTACTGAATGCAGACATACTAATAAGCAGCTCTTGAACATGAACAACTAATATTCTCTAATTGCAGATTTCATTAATACAGTTACATTTCCACTCACTCCATTCACCCTTCACCAAGACCTTTCCAGCATCCCTTCCCTTTGCTTTGCCTGGAAATAACTTGCCTTACATAACTGTGTATGTGTGTGTGCTTGTATGGCTGTAATATTACATGTAGTATAATTCTTGATATTGAATGTTAATGTCTTCTGTTGTGGCTGAGCTGATTTTTTTTATGTTACAGCATAACACAATATCACGCTTTTTTTTTTTTTTTTTTCTGTTTTTATTAAGGTATATTTGAAATATTTAGTTAAACATAAGGCTGAGAGAAGGGCAAATGGAATTTAAGTGCCCCATCCTCCAAGATGCCTCTTACCAGTATACCACAGATCATTTTTTCTCTTTAATTTCTGTGAAAGTAAATGATCTGTTATATTATTATTTTTCTAGAATGAAAATCAAGGCGAATCATCATATTGTGTATCACTAGCTCTCTTTTTTTAAGACACTACCCAGCCATTTAAGTTGTTTTCAAGCCATTTTGCCTGTTATTACATTGACACCTGTCATGCATCCAAGCAATCTTGAGATGTCCTTTGTGTTTCTTTGTTTCATTTGCTGTGCTTTTATTCCATTGTAATAATTAGTTTCTTGGTTTACCTGGTTTCTCTCATAGTATCTTTGAGTTGTTTTCTATTGTTTTGTCGTGTGTGTGTGTGTGTGTGTGTGTGTGTGTGTGTGTGTGTGTGTGTGTGTGTGTGTGTGTGTGTGTACGTGTACGTGTACGTGCGTGCGTGTGTGAATGTGTTAAGTGTATAAGCAAGTTATTTCCTGATCATATCCTTATTTAGCCTTTCCTTTCCCACAATTCCCCAGAGACATATTCAAGTATAAGCCAAATTCCTCTTATGCCCTGATGTAGAATCATTTGTGAATTTGTTGTCCTATGATCCCTGTTCCAATCCTGTCCTGACCACATTCTCCGATGTCTGTCCCCTTTCATTTGAATTTTTATTTCTTTACTCCTTACTTGTTCTTCTTCCATATGGAAGATGAAGAGACGCCGACATCAGCCCTGAAATCAGAGCTGATTCGAGAACCAGACCTTCTATCCGACGTGTCAGAGATGAAACAAGATTTGATCAAAATGACTGCCATCTTGACTGCAGACACCACAGAGAAATCCCCTTCCTTAGGAAGGTGTGGTGCAGAGAAAGGGACTGAGGATGTTTCCGGAGAGCCATTAGAAATAATGGAGAAGGACTTAGAGAAAGTCAAAGAGGACCTAGAGAAAGTCAGTGAGATACTCAGGAGTGGAACCTATAAGGGTGAGGCAGCTGAAGAGACAGCAAAAGCAGCTAGAATGTCAGAGGAGTGGGTTCTCCTATCAGAGAGTGAGATAAAGGAGGCCATGAAGATGGCAGCCTTGGAAACTCAAGAGCCTATCTTACGTGAAAGTAGAGCCAACCGAGGGGCTCCCAGACCAAAAGCAATAAAGGACAGTGGTGACCTTAAAGAATACCTCCTGGATGGATCAGTGGGCTCCAAACTAAAAGTCAAAAAAGAGCCAGCTGTCCAAGAAAAATTCACTGAAGTTGTCCCAAGCAAAAGTGCTAAACCAACTACTCCAACCAAAGGTCAGGACAAAACAGCTGCTGGCGATGTTAAGAAGCCAGTCAGGAGGAAGGGAAAAGATCAGGGGCAGGCAGAGGAATCCACAGAGGCAGGTGCTCTTCTAAGTGTGCCTACAGCTCCTGCCCCAGCATCACCTGTCTCTCCAGTGATTGAAGAAACACCCATTGGGTCAATAAAGGATAAGGTCAAAGCCTTACAAAAGAAAGTAGAAGCAGAGCAAAAGGGTAAAAAGGTCACTGGGAGCAAGTCTTCACAATTGCCTGTTGCGCGCAAGCCTTCTCCAAAAGCCAAAGAAAGCCCTAAATTGAAACAGGGCCCCCCTAAATCCCCCAAAACTGAGTCTGAAAAACTTGAGGAGACAATGTCAGTCAAAGAGCTGATGCAAGCATTCCAAACAGGGCAGGACCCCTCAAAGACAAAGTCTGGGCTATTTGAGCTCAAAACATCCACAATGTCAAGATCAAAGAAATCCACCAAATCAGATACCATCCAGTCAAAATCCATGACCAAAGCAATAAGTTCATGTGTCTCTCAAGAACGAGAATTATCTTTGGATTCCAAACCTCGCAAGAAACAGACCCCTCAGCAAGACAAAGAGATGAAACATAAGTCAGTTGCTGTCGTTCATTCAGATCTAACTGAAACTACAGACTTTAGAAATGGTGGCCTTGATGATAGCTCTGACAGCTCAAAACGTGAGGCTGTGGCAGACTCACTAAGTGCCAATTCTGGAGATGGAACCCCTCATCTGAGCTCTGAGGACAGTTTGAAACATGAGGGTCTTGCCACTCCAGACACTAGCCCAGATAGTCTTTCTCCCAAAATTGGACAGCAGACCTCTACATCTTCAGCAGTAACTGCTACAACATTCAAAAAAGAAAGCAAAGACACAGAGAATCCTGGCAACTCTGGTGTAGAGACCACTGGTGACCAACTGTCTACAGAATTGACTCTCCCTGTTGCTTCCAAAGATGCTGCAGATGATCACGCTAAAAGTGAGTCCTTTTCTGTTAAAAGCAGTGATTCTAAGCCACCTAACCCTCAAAAACGTACAAAGAGAATTTCAGAGACTGTAGAAACGTTTCTTAGTGATGACGAGAGCCCTGATCATCAGCTAACATTACCTTTAGTTGGTTATCCAGCCTCTAGATCCTCTTCACAGCGTCATGACAGCTTAGAGTTGCCTTTAAAACAAGACTCAGATACTCTTAGTCCATTTGCCGATGACTCCTTATCAATAAGCCACAGAGACTCTCTAGATGGTAGTCCTCTCATGGAAGAAAACTCCTCCCATAAGTCCCCAGATTCTATTGAGCCTAGCCCGACCAAGGAGTCACCCCCTCATGACTCTTTAGAGAGTAGCCCTGTAGAGCAAAAAAGCCACCCATCTTTCCCATCATCTCTAGGTCTGCCTAGTAACTCTTCTAGACATCCAGGTCCCTCCAAAGCTACAGAATTCCCCCAAGATGCTTTGTGTGGTAGGCTGCTTCGAGACCAAGAGGCTAGTGCTGACGATGAATGTTGTGAGCAGACATCTCAGATGACAAGTTCTGGTAAGAGTCCCCTCTCCCCTGATACTCCTAGTTCTGAAGAGGTAAGTTATGAGGTAAACCCCAAACCCCCTGAACATACATTCCTCTCTGTTCTATCCAAATCTGCTGTCATCCCTGAAGACCCAGAAGAAGAGGATACATCAGAAAGCTATGAACCTATGAGAAAAATCACCCCAGAGGATGAGATGTTTAAGATGGCAGCCAAAATAAAAACATTTGATGAAATGGAACAGGACGCAAGGAGCAAAATGAACTCTAGAAAAGATTTGGTTTCCTCAGCATGTGCCAAAACAGGGGATGACAGCTATGAAACAATAGAACACACAAGTGAGAAGCTTTCGCAAAGTGAATGTGGGTTTGAAAAACCCGCAGAAGATTCAAAGTTAGCTATTTTTGCTGATCCCCATATTAAAGTACAACCTCCCTCTCCTTTTTCAGCAGGTTTGCATGATGGATCCCACAACAAAGAGGTCATGAAAACAAGAACAACAGCCACTGTCATTTCAGAGGGACCTCACTCTGTCTCAGACCAGCATCACTCAGGAATAAAACTGGAAACTGCACAGGAACAAATAGTTTCACCGTCTGCAAAAGTTGATACAGACAGTATTTCCAAAAAGGCCTCTGCCACACCACATGTTGAAAACAGGACTGATGAGCAAAAGGAAGAGTGCTTAAGGAAGTCAAAAGACAACAGCGAAGATGATAAGCTTGGTCAAGAGTTAGGGGTTTCTCAGCCACAGACTGGTACGCTAAAACATGTCAAAAATGTAACAGATGAAGTGAAAGGAGATCAAAAAGAGCAACCAGGAGTGCCAGAGGCTGGTGCCTCAGGTGAAATAAAGGACATGTTTATACAGGAGGTCTGTGTATATGATGACACAGAGGATGATGAAACACTAGAACCTCCCAGAACTGAGTCAAAAGGTGTCACTGCAAGGGTAGAAACGGACTCATGGTCTGCCATGCGGGAGGATGATGATACCTTTGCAGCTCGCGTCAAGGAGGAGGAACAGAAAATACTGAATCTGGTTGTGGACCGCCAGTCTCTGCAAGCAACTCCAGACACAACACCTGGTAGGACACCAACAGAAGAGAGCACTCCTACCAGTGAGCCAAACCCTTTTCTTTTTCAAGAAGGGAAGCTTTTTGAAATGACCCGAAGTGGCGCTATTGACATGACGAAGAGGAGCTATGAGGAAGAAGGAGGTGGTTTTGCCTTTTTCCAGATAGGTGATCAGCCTTTAGATGAGCCTCTCGTAGAAGAGGCCAGGCAGGAAAGTATGAGATCAGCAACAGAAGATGAAGTTGGCCTCAATCTAACAATAGAGGTTAAGAGTGAAGAGACTAAGACATCAAAAGAGGAAACTGATTCTCAGCTTCAGTCCCCACCTGAGGGTGATCAGCCAGCCTCTAAAGCTGATCCCACCAAATCTAAAATCCCTGAAATGAGCCTTTCTGCTTCATCCAAAACTGCAAAGAAAGATCAGACATCACCTGAAGGTCTAGAGACTAAAACAGACAAAAATGTGAATGAAGGATACTTAGATTTAGAAAAACAGTCCACTGACCAAATGATAACAACTGTACAGACAGCAGAAACAACAGTCACTAGATCAGTTTACTCTGAGCAGGGCGAAGAGTCTTCTGATTCCTCTCCAGAAGAACCACAGTCAGTGATAGAAGCACCCACACCAACAGACAAAACCAAACAAATTGCTTCCTGTGGTGTTAAAAAGATTCCAGTCAAAACACCATCTAAGTCTACTTCTCAAGGTCGGGGTAAATCCACAATTCCCTCTCCACCTCAAGCAACCTCCTCTTCAACCACTCTTAATAAAGAAGCCTCCTTCATTTCTGAACCTAAATCTAGAATTCCCATTAAGTCTAGCACTCCCAAGCCTGATTCTCCTGCCAAAACTGCTCTATCTACCCAAGACAAAAAGCTTAAGGTCCCTGTAAAAAAGGATTCAAGGAGAAAATCTGAGACAGATGCAGGTCCCTCTTTGGACATCAAAACCAAGACACCATCTTTCAAAGCCAAGAGCTTCTGTGAGGCGGAGTCTACCACACCATCTGCCAAGAAAGAACAAGGTCGCCCATTGAGTGCTGATTTAGCTAAATCTAAAGGTTTCCAGTCCAGATTGCCAGTCCGAGGCAAAAGTGGTCAATCAACTCATTCATCAACAACCATGAAAGAGAAAAGTGAGCAACAAAAACAGTCCATTGATTTCTCTGAGGAGATAAGCGATGAGGCAGCCAAACTGGTGGCAAGGTTGGCACAGGCAGAGACAGAGAAAGAACAAGAGGCTGCAGCTGCCAACTCAGATGATGAGAGCAGTCTCATTGATCCATCACTCATAGAGAGAGATACTTTCCCTGAGATGCAGTTCCCTCCCTCAGGAGACGTCTTTCCCATTAGACCACTGTGGGATGACCCTTCTGAGACACAGATGCAGCGAATCCCAGATGATAAAGTCCAAAGTCAAGGTATCCCCCGAGCTTAAGGGGCTATTCTCTATCTTTTGTGCGTCACTAGTGAATTGTAGCTGCTAAGGTGCTGCCTCTCCGTGTCTTGTAGTTCAGTCCTATTGTAGTTGAAGAAGTGATGTGGCTGTGTTGTTTGAACTGTGTTTGTGTTGGAAATGATGTTTCTCTTCCTCTCTATGTGTGCTGAATATCTCAAGATTGACTTAAAGGCTTTTTGGAACTTGTGAAAACAACTTAGTGGCTAGAAAACTATGAAACATTAAAGATTATATACTTATGTACAAAAATGAAATACAATAAATGTTCTAATGGTTAATGTATTTTTCTTAATCATAGTGTCACTACAAGGTATTTTGGCTTTTTGTGTAGTTGTTCTTGGCACACCACACTTTAATATGTCCTAATGAATTAACCAAACTGTTAGTATAACAAAAACAGGAAAGCCAATGAAGATACTATTTGTAAATGTTCATTTGGTATAACTTGCAGTGGTGTTTACAGTAGATCCACAGGATGAAGAAGAGAGAAAAGAGCAACGGTTGGCCATTATAGCCGACCACCTGGGCTTCAGCTGGACTGGTGAGTCACACCTTAGTAGCAAAGACATCCAACTTACATTAAATAAACATTATTAGTACAATTTTGGTCGGCTTTCAATTAAAATAGTTGTAATCTTTTAAATGTATCTTTTTACCATCTTAATCATTACAATTTTTTATATTTCTCAACAGAATTGGCTCGGGAACTGGACTTCAGTGAGGAGAGGATCAACCTGATTAGAGTTGAAAACCCTAACTCACTGCAAGATCAAAGCCATGCCCTTTTGGAACTCTGGGCAGAAAGGGAAGGACAACATTCCACAGGTTAGAAATAAGTAGGGAACATAGTTTTCATAATTATTGCTCTGAAACACAAGTGAAGTAGAATCTCTCATTTAATTTGGAGAAAATATACTTTTTCAAATTTGAAGGTGGAACTTTTTAACTTAGTTTTTTGTTTTAACAGAAACAACACTGATCAAAAGATTGACTAAGATCAATCGAATGGACATTGTTCACCTCATCGAAACCAAGATACTCAAGTCCACTGAGGACGACACATCCTCACATACCTATGCAGAAATAGAGCGGACCATAGCATTGGATCATAGTGAAGGTGCACAAGTCAATGTCAATTTGAAGCAGAATAATGATTAGTTGATATATCTATGTAGAAAGTTCTTATTGATTTCCTTTTTCAGGTTTCTCTGCCCTTCATGAGGACATTGACAGCCCCAGGCCCGGCAGGCGTACAGAGGCTTCACGTAGGAGTCCAGGCTCGGGACAAGAGGTACCAATGGTGACAGCAGAGGACCTGTCCTCCAGTTTGTCATCACTACACGAAAAAAAGGCCCATAAAGAAAAACTACAAAAAGAGATGGAGAAATCATAGTAAGTTACCTAACAAGTTGAATTCATGTGACCTGTTAATTAATCTAATCATTATTAGGGTTTTGGCATTGTCTGGATTTTATTGACATTTTTATGAAAATTTGAGATTTTATCATTCCCCCGGTCTCCTCTGATGTGACACTGCAACCTGCCTCTGTGACACAGTGTCTAACCATATGTGTCCAACAAATGTCTTGCAATATATCTGACAGTTGCCCATTTGCTTCACTGTTTGTACAAGTATAGAAATCATAATTTCATTTAAAAATCTACTTTCTATACCCTGCTTCACAAACAGTAAACTGACTTCCCTTTGCTCCTCCCAATCTGCCTCACAGCCCCGGGGGAGTGAGTCGGGGATCTCAACTCTTATTAATCCTTCCAAAACAAAATGTGTTGCTTTGCGCAGCACGTCCAGAGAGAGCTCCAATGTACATGTAAAGGAACCGATAAGCAGAACCCAAATAATTAGTTTTTCTTTGGATACCCAGTACTGGGCAATTGATATAGGTTCTTCCTCAGAACCGAGTTTCAGTTCCCAACCCTAGTCATTACCTACCAGGGTTATTTCTGATTTGTCTTAACTTTAAAATGAATAAATTGAAATTAATTGTTGTTTTGTTTTATCACAGCTCATCACAAAGAGTATATGAAGAATTGACAGATACCGTACACACAGGCTGTTTGAAACAAGTAAGTCCTTTCTTCACATTGTACCGCACAACTCCATACAACCTCCGATCCCATGTGATAGACCCTGTGTACAAAGGGGGACCCAAGTTAGGTGGCCAGATTACCCCATCCCCTCACCTCACTATTGAACCCTGTGATGATGAGGGTGCTGCTGCATATGAAGGGGCAGAGGGGGGAGACGAGTGGAGCTTGGAGTGTCTACAAACCACCCATTCTGAAAACGATGATCATCTTTTGTCAACTTTGCCCCGGCGAGAGTCTTCCAATATTTCTCGAACAGGTGTATGCGAGAGTCCATTGTTGTCTGTGATCGATTTTGGAGATAGCTTGAATGAGTGCGATCTAGCTGAGCAAGACTTCAAGGAAATGTCCATTGAGCTAAAAGGAACCGTTGAGGTGTCTGGAAAGATTTGCTCTACACTACAACCTGCAAGTGAACAAAATGTTCTGCCTTCTTCTGGTTCTGCTGATGCAACAAGACACATGGATGAAGTTTCACATCGACTCTATAAAGTCTTGTATGGATATAATGTTGAATTGACAGGTTCCAATAGTAAGGATTTGTCGGTGGTGCCTATGGATGCATCGCGAGAAGACATACTTCGGGTCCCAGTCAGGGAAGATGCAGTTGATGGAGCAGCTGGACACACACACACTGATCTAGATTTTTCAAAAGTTTTGCCTGATATTTATAATTCCCAAGTTTTAATTTCAAGTGACCTCGATGAAAAGTCTCTTCTTTGCACAAATCAAACCGACACTGCCACTCACACACTAGCATCTCCCTCTGATGACAGTTGTACCATCACAAGTTTAATATCTCAAAAACAGGAACAATTAAGCTCAGCTTGCTTCATTCAGGTGTCACATGACTCAACTTTGGTTCATTCGGAAGATAATGCAATGTCAGTTATAACAAGAGCTGAGTATAGGTTTGAGAAAACACTGTCATTCGAAAAGAGTGAAAATGAGGTTGTTGTTTCTGTAGAGACTACACCTGATATCAAAGCTACCAGGTATAGGTCCTGTTTACCAGAATCAACATCTGAAACCTCTAGTGAACGTCCTCATGATGGATCATCTTCACCGGAATGTGTGACTGATGAGGAAATTGAGCTGCATTTTCTTGCACCTGATTCTCATAAACCTCCGTTTAGGCCCTTGTCTCCACTACCACCACCTGTTTTTCCATGGGAAACTGATAATGGTAGGGTTGCAGAAGCCCAGGGGCAATTAATGCTGAGTTCACAAGGAGACACCTTTATGCTATTAACATCAAAAGCAGAGGAAAGGCCGTTAACACCAATGGTTTCCAACAAAAGACCATTTGGAAGGCAATTATCAGGATGCAGTGATTATAGTGGGGAGAGATCAATCCCACCACCATCAATAACTTTCGATATAGACGACAGAGCATCGTCACCTAGGTCTGCCATTTTAGAGACAATGCCGTGTTTCTTTGCATCTTCTGAATCCAGTGACTGCATCACAGTTCAAGTCTCAGGGTCTTTTAAAACCTGTCAATATAGATCATCATCCACTGAGTCATTGTCGTCAGATTTGGAATTTGAATTTGCACTTTTTTCATCAAATCCTCTTGAAGGCAGGCCCTCATCCCCAGAATCTTGGACATCTATAAATGAATATAAAGCACTGTCACCTGATTCACCTGTCCCTGAATTCAGTCATGACTGGCCTGACTCAGCTATTGCAATGATAGGGGAGAGACCCTCTTCAGCTCAATCAGTATACTCAGATGTAGAATATGGCGCCATTTCTCTAGCATCTGCTAATTGTGAAGATAGAGCTTCTTCACCTTCCGCAGCTGGACATAAATCAAACTTACCTGAACCATTATTATCTGATACAGAGAATAAACCACCAACACCAGTGGAATCTGTTTTTGAGGATGATGATGATGATTGGGTTGTTATATGTGCATTTGATATTGATAAAAGAGCACTTTCACCAGATTCAGTGCCTGAATACAGACCGATGTCTCCTCAGTCAGCAATGTTAGATATTAGGGCATCCTCTCCAGAAACCTTAAGTAATTGTCTGTCCATAGATTCTGCCATACCACAATATACACCATCTTTGCATCATGCTGTTACTATTGTTGATCATTCATCATCGCCAGAATCTGCGTTTTCAGACACAGAGTACGAGGCCCTACCATTGCTTTCATTTTTTGAAAATAGGCCATTATCTCCTGACTCAAGTTGTTCTGTCAATGATTATGGGTCATATTCTGTGTCTGACCTACCTCTTGAGAAAGACATAACGCTTGAAATGACACATGCTGAAATTGTTGTAGAAGAGGCTTGTATTGATAAGCAGTATGAAACAAACACAATTGTTGAACTAGAAAAGTCAAAATCTCAGGAAAGATACTCAACCTTTATTATGTCAAAACCTGAAGAAATTCCCATTAAACAAGAAACAAAAACTTCCAAGATAAAATCAGTTGTATCTGATTGCATTCAGTCACAACAAAACACTTTTACACCAAAAGCAGAAGTTCAGCCTTTGTCAGGTATTGAAACCGAAAAATCTCAAGAGGTGTGTGATACAGGATACTCAAAGGATGACGTGAACAATCCCGTAACTGGGATGACAAAACCTGGAAGAAAGAAAAAATCTACGAAACCAGTCAAAACTGATGAACCTGTGGAAAATGTTACAAAATATCAGGAAGAATCATCAAAGAGTTTGGTTACATATGAAGAGATACAAGGCTCTGTTAGATCCCTGTCACCCGTTTTGTCTCTAGAAACAGCATCTGAGAGAAATCTAGCATCCTCGTTGGCATTTACTACTAAAGTTCCAGAAGTTCAGCAATTACCTGGAGTCTCTTTGGTTTCTGAACCTCAGCAGGATATACCTTTATCCTTAACAGAAGATTCAGTGCCAGTCCACAGTTTAACATACGAAGCAGAACTTTGGAAGCTCATCTCTCAAATTCGTGACCCACAGTATGTAGGAGATACCTACATGAATAAAATCGGAGTGGTTCAGTTTGGTAAAACACAAACTGAATCTTATCAGTCAAAGTTAGACGCAAAAATTAAAGGTTTACCATCCGAATATTACCAAAGACGGCTGTCTCAGGATTCTGAAGCAGAATATAGACCCATGTCACCACAATCCCTGTTGGTGCTGGATACACTTCGACCAGACTCCTCCAATTCAAGAATATCTGTAGCTAGTCAGGAAGCCTTAATGCCTGATTCCCCAGTACCTCAGTACTTTGTTTCTCTCTCTGGACCTTCTCAAGTTTATCACAGATCAGATTCAACAGAGTCAGTATTGTCAGATCTGGATCTGGAGACTGATGTAAATATTTCATTTCTTTTTGAGAACAGACCAGCATCTCCTGATTCAGTTACATCTGTAAACATTTACAGGGCACTATCGCCTGAGTCACCTGTTCCTGACTTTAGAACTGGTTTACGAGAATCAGTTGTAATTGCTAGATTGGATCGATATTCCTCTCTTGAATCAACCACCTCTGCTCTGGAAATGGTGTCTCCGCTATTATTAACAGAGGACAGCCGCTCTTCCCCATGTTCCCTCGATGAAAACGGGCCACTTTCAACTCAGTCACCAATTCCTGTGTTTGGACAGGCCTTAAATGAATGTGTTGCTCAGGCAACACTGTCAAGATCCTCCTCACCTGTTTCAGTTTGTTCACATTTGGAGTATGGGGCTATGTCTCTGTCACAACTGTCCTCTGAATTTAGACCCTCCTCACCTGACTCAGTAGTTTCTGGATTTGACTGTGACTCACCGATACCAGAATTTACTGCAGGGCTGACTGAATCAGAATCAGTTATTACTCCTCGATCGCCTTCACCTGAGTCATTGGTTTCTGATGTTGAATATGCACAAACAAGTGTAGACATAGGTATTAGCGAGCAGAGAGCTGACTCACCTGAATCACAAGTATTGGATACCACAGAGAGACCATTGGATGGTAGTCTTCAAACCTTACCACTTAAGGCAATAAGGGTACCAGTATATAGACTTGTTTATGATGCTGATCTTTGGAAGCTTATTTCTCAAATACATGATCCTCATTATGTTGGGGAGACATTTTGCAGTAAAACGGGTGTTTTTGAATATGCTGGAACAAGAATCGAGTATGTTCCGGATGATTCAGCTGTGACACATGGAGAGATTGAGGGTTGTATGACGTTGAAAACTACAGATTCATCCGATGCAGATTTTCAACAAGCAATGCAAACCAAGATTGGGAGGCAAGAGAGCCCAGCGTTAGAGTGCAGCCCTTTATCACCTGGGTCTCTAATAACTGAAACAGATGATTCCACTATTGAAGAAAAATGGTCAGCTAACGATGATTCAACGTTAAGATCAAACCAACTGATAAGTCAACTAAGAGACCCTCATTACATAGGAGACACTTTGGTAAGCAAAGTTGAAGCGTTTGAATATGAGAATATGAAAAAAGAATGTGTTCTTTTTTATTCAAATGCAGAAGACACAGGAAAGCCAATGTCACCTGACCCTGAGTCAGAATATACATCCCCGGGCCCAAAGTTATCTAGTGTTTCAAGATGTGATTTGCAGGAGCCAGGGATCTCTGTGGAAGAGTATAGACCTGACACTAAAGATAATAAAGATGTGTCGGACTCATTAGAACTAGAGGTTGAGGAGAAACCAATGTCACCTGATTCTGAATCAGAGTTTAGGCCTTTCTCACCTGCATCACTAATGTTCATTTCAAATATCAGATCACCCTGTTCTGAATCATCTGACTCTCTGAATGCATTTACAGCTCTTTCACCCGACTCACCTATTCCAGACTTTAGACAGGTACTTCAAGAGTCCCCAAACACATTCACACATTATAGATCCCCTTCACCGGAATCAGTGCTGTGGGATTTTGAAGAGGAAAATGAGTCATCTTTCCCAATGGTCACAGAATGTCGATCTTCTCCTGATTCCTTTGTATCTCTGAGTAAGTACAGAAGACTTTCTCCTGACTCTCCTATACCTGACTTCAGACAGGCTTTGCTAGAAACACATACTGAGTTTAATGCTTTCAGTCCATTTTCACCTGAATCAGTGGCCTCAGAAAGAGAATGTAGTCCTTTGATTCAACGAATGTTTGATTTTGAGGAAAGAGCAGAATCCCCTCTATCCGGGGTGTCTGACGCTGATCTTAGATGTCTGTCTCCTGATTCTCCAGTGCCCCAGTACACTGTGGGTGCACCAACTATGTCTGGAGCAAGATACAAATCCACATCACCTGGTTCAGTATTTTCTGAGGAGGATTTGGAGGATGATTTGTGTATCCCTTGGCTTTTTGAGGACAGAGCAGCATCTCCTGGTTTAGCCACATCCCATTATAAACTTAGACCTCTTTCACCAGACTCACCCATTCCTGACTTTTCACAAACACTGCCAGAGTCATCTTTGTCCCATATGTGTTCAAGGTCTTCTTCACCTGAGTCAGAGTTGTCTGATTTTGATGAGGACATTGAGATATCTTTCCCAATGGTCATAGAAGACCGATCTTCTCCGGAGTCCTTAGAGTCTCTGAGTAAATATAGAAGACTTCCTCCTGATTCTCCTGTACCTGACTTCAGAAAGGATTTGCCAGAGACATATTCAGAGTGTAATGCTTACAGGTCATTGTCACCGGAGTCAGAGGCTGCAGAAACAGAACATACTCCTTTGATTCCACAGATGTTTGATTTAGAGCAAAGAGCAGAATCTCCTCTATCCGGGGTGTCGGATGCTGATCTTAGATGTTTGTCTCCGGATTCTCCAGTACCCCAGTACATTATGAGTGGACCCACTATGTTAGGAGTAAGATACGGATCCACATCACCTGGTTCAGTATTTTCTGAGGAGGATTTGGAGACCAGTTTGTGCATCCCTTGGCTTTTTGAGGACAGAGCAGCATCCCCTGGTTCTGCTGCACCCAAAGAGGAATTTAGACCTCTTTCACCAGACTCACCCATACCTGATTTTACACATGCACTACAAGAGACATCCATATCACATATGTATTCAAGGTGTTCTTCACCTGAGTCAGTGTTGTCTCATTTTGATGAGGACATTGAGATATCTTTCCCAATGGCCATAGAAGACAGATCTTCTCCTGAGTCTTTAGCATCTTTGAGTAAATACAAAAGACTTTCTCCTGATTCTCCTATACCTGACTTCAGAAAGGCTTTGCCAGAGACATATTCAGAGTTTAATGCTTACAAATCATTGTCACCTTGGTCATTATATTCAGATGAGGATTTAGATACTGATTTGTGTATCCCTTGGCTTTTTGAGGACAGAGCAGCATCTCCTGGTTCAGCCACATCCCTTTATGAACTTAGACCTCTTTCACCAGACTCACCCATTCCTGACTTTTCACAAACACTGCCAGAGTCCATATCACAAATGTGTTCAAGGTCTTCTTCACCTCATTCTGTTTTGTCAGATTTGGAAATAGAACTGACATTCCAACATTTCTTGGAAAGCAGACCTTCATCTCCTGAATCTCAAGACTCAATCAGACTTTCACCTGATTCACCTTTACCTGACTTTATGCAACCAATGTTTGGATTACATGAACATGTTTGTGGACATGGGTCATCATCACCTGAGTCAATGTGTTCAGAAATAGAACACATTGGTATAAGCCTAGGATCACTAGTTTATGACAATAGACCATCTTCACCTGGCTCAGGGGCATCTGGAGATGAATACCAGGCCCTCTCATCAGACTCTCCTTTACCTGAGTACAGACCAGCAATGTGTGAACGTGTTATTGTGAATGTTGGCTATAGATCATCCTCCCCTGAATCCACTGAATCTGAAATTGAGTATGCGTTGAGTGAGTTGTTGATGCCCATCAATTATAGTGTAGAGGATAGGCCAGATTCTCCTGAATCACTAGGATCAGAAGTACAAGATAATGAATTAAAACCCCTATCATCTGATTCGCCAATACCTGACTTGACAAAGACATTTGAAAAGAATATGATGACTGTGAGAGACATATCAACCACTGTATTTTTAGGTTCAGATGATTTGTCACAAACTTGTACAGTAGTGAGGTCGGCATCCCCAGAGACTTTTGAATCAGATAAAGGAGATCCTGTTTTATCAACAACAATGGCACCTTTTTCCCCTGAGAATTCGGCCACTCTGGCAGCTGAGTATAATAGCACTTGTGATGCAGAACTGTGGAAGCTGATTTCTCAATTGCATGATCCTCAGTATGTGGGGAAAACGTTTAGCCATGAAACAGGGTTTATGCAATGTATTGGCAGCACGATAGAAAATGAAAGGAGTGTTCCAGATGATGAACAAGATAATACATTTGAAGGTAAAAATGAGCATGACGTCACAGTAAATGCTTCAGAGGGGACACATATATTTACTTCCTCAGCCAAAGCTGGCTTTCTTTGCACTTCAAGTGCACAGGTCATATCAGAAATATCTCTTTCACAATCTGACCAACTTGTTTCAGAGTCACCTCCACCAGTGATAGAACACATTTGGTCTTCAGGAGCAGCTCCATACAGACGGACAAAGTACACATTTGAAAAACCTTCCCCCGAGGTACATACAGAGTCTGATGATCATTGGGTCGTTAAATCTGTATCTGACTCAGACGATGATGATCTACGTGATTCACCAGAATCCTTGATAGACTACAGACCCATATCCCCCGATTCAGTCATGGTGATAGAATCGAGACCATCATCACCAGAATCTGTATCATCAGTCAATGAATTTAGACGCCTCTTACCAGATTCCCCGATACCTGAATTTACAATGTTTTTGCCAGAATATGTAACGTTTCTCAGATCAGCATCATCTTCACCTGAAACTTTAGCATCAGATATAGATTATGCGCAATTTGAAAATATGGAATTTCAGTTTGAAGAATGCAGGCCATCATCTCCAGGGTATTCACTCTTAGAGGAGGAAGATGAGAGAGAACGGCCATTGTCGTCTCAGTCTCTGCCTGAATACAGGCCCATGTCACTTGAATCAGCTATGCAAATAGACCAAAGAGCATCATCTCCTGAATCGATGCCTGAGTTTAATGAGAACAGATCGCTTTCTCCAGACTCCCCCATTCCCCAGTTCACTGTGCCATTGGAGTACACTATTACACATAGGTCATCATCACCTGACTCCACGGGTTCAGATTCAGAGTGTGAGCTAATGGTCTCGTCTTCAAGAGATGCTGAGACAGACAGACCATCCTCACGTGAATCCATGTCATCGCCCAATGAGTTCAGTCAACTAATGCCAGACTCACCGGTACCTGATTTTATGAGAATATTGTCTTCTTATTTTATTGACGCTACCCTTGTTGATAGATCTTCCTCACCAGTGTCTTTTTCATCAGACTCTGAGTTTGTTGCTTTACCTATTGATTGTTGGATTGATGATAGCCCAAGGCCACTGAACCCTCAAATTGTTGACTCAGAAGACGAATTAGCTTTTTGCTGTGAGGATACTGAACCTTTGAGTCATGTGACACATTGTGAAACTTTATTACCCAGTCAGTCTTTATCATTACTTAACAAAGGTCCATTGGCTGAATTATTATCACTACTTCCAATCAGTGAGAAAAAATCGAAGGAAGAAAATATCAATCCTGACTCGCAAAAGATGACTGGACCAGAGGTGTTGTCAAAAGAAGGGACACAGCATGAATCAGAAGCTGAAAGTATCTCAACTTCAGGAACCGCGGTTTGTGAGGAAGACTTCCAAAAGGACTTTTCTGTGAAACCATCGCCAGTTCAAGATCCACAAAGAGAGGAAAAGAAGATCCAACTCATCCATGCTGGAGAACTAAAGAAGACGACAGGCTCTCAAAGGGTAAGACTGAGAGCATGACAATCATGCAAAGAATCACGTGTGTTTTGGATTTCATTAACGTGACCTCGATAAGGACAATAACTGCCTTGATGGACTAACAAAATGGAATGCAGTTAATGCATCAAACATGTCCGGAATGTTTCAGGAATAATAAATTACTTATTGATCTTCCTCCATTTATTCATCTGATGCTAAGCTCCCTTTGAGTGTGCATGTCTTGGCTTCACATTTATTGTTCAAAATATAATGAGAATTTGGCTGTATGGAAAATAATCATGCTTATCTATGTTGATATTCACTTGCAGGCTCCTCCTCAGATACTAGAGGAACCACATTTTCTTACAGATGATAAGCAAAGCACACCTTTGTCTGCTACAACACTGACAGAAGACTCAAGGAAAATAGGTCTGGTGTTCGATGATGACAAGCCAATGAAATCAATCCCCCTACAGCTACCTGAGCAGAACATACACACCACCCACAGAACTGTTACTCCAGTTCTCCCTGCATCGGAGAATATATCACGTTTAATGTCGGATAGGCCCCAAGGGCCCTCAGGGGCTGAGTTCTCCCCTGATAAAGAGCAGTCCAGTGAGCTTTTTTCACCTATGTCCGCTCAGCTTTTGGTACCTCCAGATTTTGAAGCAGTATTTTCAGGACATCAAACCCTGAGAGTTTCTGAATCGAGCCAAGCTTCGTTGAATGATTTGAGTCCAGTATCTTCAGTGTTCAGTGACTCAATTTCAGCTCAAGTTGGGACTGAAGCCACCTCCAAAGGAGAGTCTGAATATCTACAAGACTTTGAGTTTTCCCCAGATTTTAACAGAGTCGTCTCAGAATTTGAGAAAACAGCCTCAGAATTTGAATCAGGGCATCCAAAGGTCCTACCAAAAGAACTCAGGAAGGGATCGGATTCTCCGCAGCACTCTGACTCAGATGGGGAATTCTTTGACTGCAAGCAAGCCTTCTCTGACAACTCGGAACCAGATGAAATGAAACTCAAACATGAGATTACCTATCATATCTCTGAACCCCCGTCCCCAATGCCTGGGAGTCGCTCTGATCTCTGCTTCCTGAAAGGCAGCCCTGAATACACTGCTCACTCTTTCCTCGGGGTGGAAGATTACAAGCGCTTCTCTTCTGGCAGTGTAAGTTTCGGGGAACTTACTTATGATTCAGAGGGTTCGCGGGAGTATCAAACAGAAGGAAATCTCCCAGTGTGTGAAGAGCTTCCTTCCAGAGATCAGGCAGGGTATTACGATGATGATGACTTCCTAGGAAGGGTAAGAGGTTGAGCATGAGCACAGTGCTGCACTGGCTTTTTTCTTGCCTGGCCAGATTGGTTGGTGTTAAGCTGCATTCAAGATTCAGAAAAAAAATAACGTGTGGACTTAACCTTAATGAGGCTGACGAATGCTTTTGTGTGCATGAGTGCCTAAACCCTTCAAGAAAATAACTAAATTGTGAAGACTATAACGAGTTGATGAATTTAGTATTGTGTCATAGATGGCTGAAAAGTTTTGGTGTTTGTTGTGATTGGTTGCAGTCACAGATCTTGGACTCAGCATTGGCGACATTAACATATTCCTGTTTAGAACTTATTATATAACAGATTAATTTTTATTCACACCTGCACCTGTTTGCATCCTTTGATTTCTCTTTGTTTTTTCCATCAGTGTGTGAAATACTAGTTGACAAGTGCTGTGCTGTGGACAGCAATTAAAACATGTTATTAGTAATACTTTGGCCTCACATTCGGAACATATATATATATTTCAAGCTATTTCCGTTAACTCATTGTGACTATGGATCATAATGACTTTGCACTTCAACTTCATCAACTTTTTTGTAGATATTTGGTAAAACAAGGGGAACATGGGCTTAAGTCTCCTACAGCTTTACAAATCATTTTTCATCATCTCAAACATTTGTCAGACAAACACAGAAACAAAGCCGCTACCCATAATTATCTTTTATGAAGTTCCAACTGGTGAACTGATCGTTAATCAGATATGGTTCTAGCCGGGGCAGAACAGGCTGTAGGACTCCACAATAGCCTGTGGATTGCAGAGTCAGAATGTACTCTTCAGATTTATACGGGTTTTGTTGCATCTTTGCCTGACCATGATTTGAAGTTGACACTCTGAGATCATTTGCAAAATAGCAGCTGGCTATGAAATCTCTGAAACTATTTTGCATATTTATTTCACTTTAAGTTATAAATGAGGCCAAAAAACATGGGAAGGAGGAGCTACACAGCAAGTTTTCATGAAGTATTCTACCTACATTTTAATGATTATTTTCCTAAGTGTATCGTGTTACTAGCAGTTCGTCCTATTTCAGTGGCCGTTTCTGGTCTGCTCATAATCTACCAATATTTAAAAAATGCAAACAACCTTCAAAGTTTAGATCAACATCAAAAAATTGGGATTTAGACAATTTGATAAGATTTAAGGTGTTAACTGGGGGGGGGGTCTGATACCGCCTGTATTACGCACACTGGTGACCATCCCTGCACGTTTGTTTCAGTTGGAAGTTTTATATAACTGTGCCTTCTCTTCATCCATAATCATTATTGTGTAAACACATTTGTATTGCCTCATGACATGTGTCTGTCTCTGTGCCTTTTTGGCCAGCAAACATTGAAGTGAGGTTCTGAGAAAAGAAGGAACAGCTGTTTGCAGTGTGTAGTAACATTGTGTGGACCTGATACTATGATCCATGCTGGTTATGTGCGCTCTCCCAGGAGATAGCAGAGGAGCTAGGGATGCTGTCTGATAGCTCAGAGGAGGAGGTGCTGACCACCAGGGTGGTCCGACGCAGAGTTATCATTCAGGTAAACAGCACGATGCAGCTATGCAGCCTCTGTGTTATGCTGTGAAGAGGTGGTGGGTAGCAGGGTTTAGTGCAATGGTGTGTTGTTTTTGTTGCTGGTTTTTACTTACCAGGGTTAATCATAAAATACACAAGATCATGTCGACATCATTTTCTTTGCTTTGTTATAGAGATTAAAGTCCAAAGGGCCCTATTATGCTTTTTGGGTTTTCCCTTTCCTGTAGTGTTGTATATGCTGTTGTGCATGTTCATAGTCTGCAAAGGTTCCCGTCAGAGGGAGTTTCACACTGCTTTCAATAGACTGTAGTTTGTGGTGCTGGTTGATTACGGTTGATTTATATCATATGTGTAGTAGATGCTCTAATGGGAATACCAAGCTGTTCCCCTCTGTGCATTAACATGTGAACTGACAATATGTGTTTTGTTTTTTCTACAGGCGGATAACCTCCCAGATATCCCAGCACAGACCGTCACAGAGGAGAAGTACACAGACGAGCATGGCAACATGGTGGTTAAAAAAGTAAGGTTTTATTCAAAGATAGCAACAACAACAAAATAACCAGGATTTGCGAAAAAAAAATCAATGTAATATTCATTGGCCTACATCATTAAACATCCAGCTTTCAGGTTTTACAACTGATCTCTTGTTTTGTCCACCAGATCACTCGGAAGGTTATTCGTAAATACGTGTCAGCGGATGGCATGGAGACACAGGAAGTGACCATTGAGGGCTCTCACCAGGAGACGGTGCACATCGAGGAGGGAGACACTGTGTCCAGAGTGGTGAAGAGGACTGTGTTACACAGTGGGGGGGATCAGAGAGAGGTCAGTGCCATCGAGCTGCAAACATATCACACGATATAATCTCACTGCATCACATGGTGTGTGACTATATTTGAATGTTGGTTCATGAAAATGTGTTCATCTCATCCTGCTTTTCTTCATTGCATCTTCCACCTATACTTTTTCATTTGGTCATAAAGACAGTTGTTTGGCTGTATTCAAGACTTGTATAAGGTTTAAACATTCTGACTCAAAAAGAAAACACTTCCCATTGAGGTTTACCAGATCAAAGTCAACAGACATAAACACACTAAAACTGCACAAATCACATATAATTGTGTGGCATATCAAAAAAGTCAAACATTTAAAAGTGAAGGTCTACACACAGTAGCTTCTTTTGTATCACTTTAAAAGATATCCAAAAATACTCTAAACAATTGTATTTGTAATATTATCTTTATTCAGCTGATTAAGTCACTGTAAATTATTATTGAATGTTGACAATTTAAATATGTGTGGTTGCACTAAGGCACATAGGTGTTATATTCTAACATTAGCATGCTAACATTGGGTCAGACACAATTGTAATATGCTGAAGTACAGAAGATATACTGTTTACCATGTTATCAATAGTCAAACTAAGTGGAAGTGTACTGACATAAAATAAATGCACACTTACATTTGTGGGCTCTCTTCAGTTGACCTTCTCAGAGCCCCTGGCCCTGGGCGCTGCCACATCATCAGAGTTTGAGGTGGAGCCAGTGAAAGGTCGAAAGGTCAGCAAGGTTGTCAAGACGACGGTGGTGAGAGGCGAGAGGATGGAGAAGCAGACGGGAGACTCCTCGCTGGCTGCTGATCTCCCCTCCGCCAGAAAGGACTTTGAGAAGGTCAGTGTGTCAGTGAGAGGATTCTATGAAGAGCTGATGAACACATGTACCAAGGGGTGTGGCTTGTTACCAAACACTCTTTTACAACAGTTCTTCCTCAATTAGTTTTTCCTATAACTTAAGTAAATTCGGTTTACAGTAGCTGATCTTTATGTCAGTTTTACAGTGTTTGTCTCCCCTTCCTCTCCCGCCTCTCCTCCCTCGTTCTTCCCCTCCAGGCGTTGAGTTATGCTGGAGGCTTTGGGAAAGGTCTCCTGCCTCATGTAGTAGAGAGAGAGATTGTGCAGGACGACGGTTCTGTGGTCAAAAGGTTGGACAGCAGCATGGGAGTGTGTAGAACAGCCACAAGGAATCTGATCTTTACTAAGAGTTAGCATGGTGTGATGTCATTCATTTGTCTCAGCTTTAGTGTTACAGTCAAACTTTGATTCAGCCTTGACCTTTGCAGAGTCAATTAGGAGAAGCTAATATCTTTAACAACACAGGTATTATTGTAGGTTTGGCCATTATTCTTATTCAAACGGGCCCTATCATGCTTTTTGAGGTTTCCCTTGTGTGTTATAGGTTTGTGTGCATGCAAATGGGCTGCAAAGGCTAATATCCCCCACAACCCCCCCTGCCTGAAACGCCTCAATGTTATATTATATGTTTACCATATACAACCATATAGTGACATCACTTTGTTACACTTGCGCTTCTATTGGCTAGCGCTGTAACACATGGTAAGTGATAGGCTAAGGGGGGGACATCTCTTAGCGCTTGACCAATCTGGGCTCTGGTTTCAGACAGAGGGTGAAAAGAGGTGCTGCAGCACAGGCAGGATGAGAAAATAAAGAGCTTTTTGAAAATTAAAGCATGGAGACATGTCCCAGTAGAGACACTACATACTGATATACACCTGAACATCAGCAGGAGAGGACTCTTTAAAGTAGAGACACTACATACTGATATACACCTGAACATCAGCAGGAGAGGACTCTTTAAAGTAGAGACACTCCTGCTGATGTTCAGGTGTATATCAGTATGTAGAGACACTACATACTGATATACACTTAAACAATGAGCAGAATATGGGCCCTTTAGATTGAACCCCCAGGCAGCAAAAACACGTAAAACACGCTTTGATGCAGCAACACAGCCACAACACACATTCGTGTCATATCACAAGTGGCTCTTATTGCATTCTTGTTTGTAGAAAGATGAGACGGTCCCTTTTGTGCTGTTAATGTGTTGCTTTCAGCCAGTGTTGCTGCAATGCAGTTCAGTGTAATGTAATATACTGCCACTGGGTGGCGCTAAATAAACAAGTCCCCAGTGTTAGTTTAATCTACTCAACAGTTTGACCTTTACTTCATTACATGTGACAGATAATACCTCCTGGTTAAGCTAACCAGTCCTTCTGTTTCGATCCTTCACAATCTACTGATAAAAAGCTTGGATATATAACCTTTGTTAACTGAATTTAGGAAATAATAGCTCAGGTTGGAGTCCAATTGAAGTATTCAAAAGTCGACAAAGTTGCATGGTTTGCGTTTGAGTTTTGACATTGGAAACATACATTTGACATATGAATATATTGACTGTTGCACGGAAACATTGAAGAGTTTATTCGATTTTTTAAGAAGAGGACATGAACATACGTCTAACACTGTCAATATTAAAAATAGATGATTGAATCATTAAATAAATCTTGCTTTTATCAAGAGTTTTATTTCTAGAAATCTTAATTTTGTGTATTCATATGTATACATTTAAGTACATGGCACTGATATGTGAGTTATTGAAACCTCAGGCACTACTCTCTGCACTCTCTGGTTGGATGCAAACTGCAATTGACAATGAAGTTGAATCTAATCTAATTCTAATGCGTGACGTATTTATTTAAACATGTGAATCCTAACATTAAACCAATCATTATTGAAACTGTAAACAAGCCTATAAACATCTTCTTTTTTTGTTCCTGCAGAAGCGAGATGCGTAGGTCTCGAATCCAGAAGAGGACTGTGGTGAGGGACTCCCAGGGAAAGCACGTGCACCTTGAGCGCCACGACGACCCCCCCGACGCCCTGCAGCCCGACGCCCTGCAGCTGCACCTGCACCGCCTGCTGCAACGCTACTGTGAGGAGGAGGAGGAGGAGGAGGAGGAGGAGGAGGAATGGTTTGAATAGCAGCTGCTGATCTTCCTCTGTGGCTCCGCCTCCTCAGATCCAGATGTTCTGTCCCTTCTCGTTGTCCTCGCCGATCACTGGATTATAGCTTTCCTTCTTCTTTGTGTTGAATAATGGAACAGTATTTTGTGATTCAACACTCGTCCTTCCTTCACATTGTGTTTCATTTGTGACCAAAGATGGCACCCTTCATTTCTGTCAGACTTGAGTTTTCCCTCTCGGGCTGCGGGAGTGTGATCCGGTATGACCCGCCACCAGTGGATCAAACTCAGAGAGGGGCATCTCGGACGTTTTGGCCTCACGCACAGCCCTCTTCTTGAAGAACTCTTGTAAACATATGTACATAGAGGAGAAAATCATGCTTGAACTTAGGGGGGTGGGGAGAGAAGAAATCTCAAAGCATTTAATACATTAGCCCACCCTGCTGTACATGCACCGACTCAGCGGGAGAATGGCCGCCGGACAGATGAGATTCATGTTAAAGAGAATACATTGTGGTGTGAGTGTGTGTCACCCTGCTGATCTGTTTACTAAGGCTGTGTGATCACACCTTTTGTCTTCCCATCATGCATCTCTTTAGTTTAACATGTCAGTCTTTCTATATTGTGTTGTGCATTTGCATTTGATCTGTCACAGAGCTGCCACTTCTGTGTGTAAATACAGTTTGTGTATTGAGAGAAAGTAGAGATGGAGCACCCCCCCCCTCTATATGTGTCACCTCCACCTTCACATACAATGTCCAAGGACAAGGCTGGATCATGTTTCTTCCTGTCAACAACTCTCATGAGCAGAGCCACCAACAACGACCTCCCCTCCTCACAGGAAGTGTTAGTATCAAACCCGATCCTCCTCTGTGCTGAAGGGTTCCATTTTTGTCAAAAGTGAGTTAAATGACTTTAAGGGCTTCTCTGCCAGTAAAAGTGATTTAATAGTTTCATTTTGAGAGGCAGACTTTACAAATCTGAATTGGACCATTTTAATCCGGCCATGTCAAACATCATTTCAACTGGGAAGATGTCCCACTGACTGTTTCACGTGAGCTTTAATAACAACCTTTCCCCCAAAAACATTCAGGCATGAATATTTGTACAAATGATGAGGCGTTTTCATTATAATATTATTCGATAATAAAACAAATGCTCTGTCATCCAAAAGTGACATCGCTGGCGTCGGAGAAGGAGGACATCACATTAAACAAAATGTTTTCTTTGCTTCCTGATTTTCTCAGTAAGTAGAAGATGAGAGGAGCTGGACTGACCACTGGGATGTATACTAAGGCTGCGTATACTCTCCTGAGTCCAGAGAAACTACAGCAGATCAGCTGTTTGAGGAATTTACAGAATGAAACTATATCTGTGAGACATTTTTTTAATATTTACATCTTCACTGTGTTTGGGGCCAAGAGACAGAGACAGGGTAGAAAGACAGACGGATCTAGAGAGGGACTAACATGTTGTTGCTTTGGGTCTTTTCATGTGGTTTGTTGACAATAATACTAATAACTCCAGACTTATGCTTTATGTTTTTAGGAACCACACCTAACATAAATATGCTTTTCCTTAACTGCTGTTATTGGTTTGACTTTGTGTTTTCACTGCTATCAAAGGATTAACACATCAAATTCAAATCCAACAAAGTCCTTCCACTGACTTCAGTCATCGTACTTCCTTATTTATTTATTGCCGTCCATTTGTGATCCCTGTAACCTCCTGTGTGTGTGTGTGTGTGTGTGTGTGTGTGTGTGTGTGTGTGTTTTAAAGCTCAAAGTAATGAAGATGCCATGGTAGACAAACAGGCTGTGGTGTGCATCTGTTTGCCCTGTACAGGCTGATGAAGTGTGTTCGGTGTTTATCTGCAGCTGAGACTTTATCTGTGTACCAATACGATCCTCACGTGCTACTCTGTGTGTGTGACCCGATGGAAGAATAAAAGAAAAGTCAATAACCGACCATTGATTTGATAAATGAGCATCTTGTTTCCATGGTGAAAAGAATATATACAGTACATTCAAATATCTATGCGGGCATGTATGACTATCAAATAATTACTAAAAACCTGAAATGCTAAGAAGGCATAGCAGCTGCAGTGTGTACATGGCAGAAAAATAAATATGTACATTCGTCTAATGTGAAGTGATGTCATTCTTTCTGAGAGCAGCTGAGAGGAGTGAGGCCCGCTGTGTGGTGACAGGGCGGGACTTCATTTAAGGTTCCTTTCTCCTATTGGGTACTGAGTGATAGACAGGAAGGAGCGTGGGGTTGATATGCAGCACTATTTTACCATTCAATTAGCTGTTGCCTTTATCCAGCGATGGAGAGTAATTATAAAGTATATTTACTCAAGTACTTTTTTTGACATATTAGTACTTCACTTAAGTATTTCCATTTATTACATTTATAAAAACGGGATAATATAATAACCATTCAAATAAAATACTCTGCAGAATGGATCTTTTCAGAGTACTTTCACTTTCTATACTTAAAGTACACTTAGCTGACAATACTTTAATTAATCTGTAATGGTCATTGGGCAGAATGAGTACTTTTCCTTTTATATTTTTAAGTCTATTTTGATGTTAATACTTTAGTACTTTAGCCTAAGAATAATAAAAGATACTTTTACTTGTAGTACTACTACAGAAATGAGAATAGTTGTTACTAGGGCCAGGTGTAGACTTTCTGCTATCCAATGATGACCTTGTTTCAAGATTTGTGGAATATTATTAAAATATATATATTAAAGAGTGAGACATTTATAACAGTAGGAGAAGAAGAAAAGAACAAGTCATTTGGCATAAATCACACATTTTATTTGATATCTCTAAAACATACACCAGGCTTGTCCCATCATGGTAACATTATATAACCAGTGCCAGGAATGTAAATGCACTTTAGAAAGATACAAAGTGTGTTGTGTGAGATGTGATGAAACTAAGGAATGCAAACAGGAAAACATCTTAATATCCTCAACACAAACATCATGTGACTTTTACCCATGCTTTTATTCTGAAGTTCTTTTTTGTATTTGCCACCTTACTAATGAGAAGTATTTTCAATGATGAACCTTAATATATGAATCGTGTTGATGAATCGTGAAGTGTTGCCTACAATCCCTGTGTCCATTGGATTTGACAGTGACACTAAAAATAACAAATAACCAAAATGCTGATTTACGCCTTAGTCATTCTGGCTTACAATACATTTCCCTCCTCATGAAAATGAATGCCTGATTAACTTCCAAACCAAAGCTCAAAGTTGAAGCTGGCTTTCCTATCAGTGACAGCTGACAAATAGCATTGAACAGCATTTCTACTTTATTCTTGTCCAGTGTAAAACACGGTGCTTTAAATCATTGGCGTGCACCAGTCGAACCTAGAATACAGGTTGATAGGGCTTAAAGGAAAGCTTGTATAATGAGAGGTGAAGGGACAGGCATTTATCACAATATCAAAAGTAAACACAACAAAATAGCTGAATTCACATCATTATTTCCTTACTGTATGAAAATATGATTTGACTGGAAAGAGTCATAGAATGGCCTGTAAGAATGATATGTATGCAGTTTATACATTCTATCATAAGAGACTCTTCTCACTGCTGCCTTGTGATGATGGAGGTTCAAACAGACAAAGTAAAACACACTTTCATTGATTTTCCTTTTTAAACATGTACTTAAAATTCCCAGTAAACATATTTGGTGCCAGTGGCAAACCAGAAAACTGATTTGTAAAATGTACTAACTAGGTTCATATGCACACTGCTAAAGATTAAGCAAAGAGCGATTCACATCATCACCAAAACGTATAAATCACCAAAACTAAAGCAAGCATGTGCCTGACCTTTAATAGATTCTGAAAAGATACACAAGTGAAAAGCAGGTATGTGAGATATTGGTCATTGTGCCAAAAGGCAAAAACATCACATGAGTCCTCAATATGTGCAATATTCAAATGAAAAACTGTCAACATACGATGACTGGAAATTTCAAATTTAAAGTTACTAGGGGGGGGGCTCTTCTGAAAACCACTTCTATTTAAAACCTACTGATCTGAAAAAATCCTGTAATGAACACCACCTCACTACAACATTATCAAGACTTTTTTTTTCAACATGTGCAATATGTTCAGTCCAGCAGTCACCATATGTAAACAACACACTGAGGGGGCGGAGCTCTAGCTATGGTGGGGGTGTTGGCTGAGGGATCTGTTTGGACGTGGCAGGGGGGGGCTGTTCAGCTGATGGTCGTAGGCTGAAGGTTGTCTGTGGTCAGACACGGTCCTTTCAACTGAAACACAAATCACATGGACATTATTTACCATAGCTCTGTTCCCTCTGTCTGATCAAGAGCATGCTGTGATTGGTTAGCTCAACCTGTTTGATTGCTGCCCAATAGAAGAGTGAGTGTTACATAGTGATGTCACTATGTTAAAGAAGAAAACAAAAGAGGCGTTTCAGGCGAGGGGAGGTGTGTGGGAGAGAAACTCCCTCTGGAGGGAACATGGGGATTTTAGCCTCTGCAGACCATGTACATGCACTGAAACCTATAGAACACACTACAGGAGAGGGAGAACTCAAAAAGCAGAATAGGCTTCTTTCATTTGATGTTTTCTTTAAACCAGTGACAGTTGTGTGATTTGGTTAAAAGACTCACAAAGGGAGGTAAGAGGACCTTGAGTAGATTGTTTTGCCGTTTCTGAGCTCAACTGTGAACCTCAGCATTTAGTCAAAACTCTGATATCTATTTACATTCTGAAATAGGAATGGGTAAATGATCTATGTTATGTAAATATCGTGGTATGAGACTATATATTGTCTCGTATCATATTTATATATTATAGTAATACAGCATTGCATACGTTTCCTAGTTGAACAGATTTACAGTGAAGTGATGTTATTTTCTGAATTCAACAGTTTTTTGTTGTTGTGTTATTTCCTTTGCCCGATTATGTAATTTGTTATTACATAACTTATTATTGGGGGGGCGCCCGGTGTCTTGCTCAAGGGCACCACGGCAGGGCACAGGAGGTGAACTTGGACCTCTCCAAGTACCAGTCCTCTCCATATTTTAAGTCTGTTCGGGGACTTGAACCGGCAGCCCCACAGCTCCCAGTCCAAGACCCTACTTACTGAGCCACTGTCGGATGAATTAAATGAATATTGCTATTATCATCTATTTTTTCCAAACTGGTCATGTTGTGAGCATCTGATATCATGACAGCATTCTCTCTACTTCTGCATAGTAAGAAGCTTCATGTATTTTTAAGGCATTCGAGCTACAGCATTTTTTGTTTCTTCTACTAGGCAGCTATTGCATCTTATTCTTCTAATCTTAATTGTTTAGTAAACTATGTACTTCTATCTACTAGAATAGACTCAAACCTGTGACCTATCCAAATCCGTGTATAGACTGCTATTTTTATGTATTTACTGTTGTGCCTATTCATACGTTATAATGTGTCCATGTATCCAGTATGTTTCAATGTATCTGTATGAGTATGTTGTATACATTATATATATAAGTGGGTTTTCAAATGTGTATGTATGTATATATATATACATATTTGAGATGACCTTTGTAAAGAAATAATCTTCCAGCAGAATCCTGAAGACCAAAGGACTCCCTCTACAGGCAGACAGAGTGAAGGAGGACCGACTCACTTGGTGGGCACGGTGGGTGAGCCGGAGCGGTGGAAGTGGATGTTTTGCCACTTGCTGTCGCGGCGGTGCCAGATGCGGGTCTCCTCGGACTGCATGGTGCGGGGCATGCGGTTGCCGTCGATGTACTGGGTGAGGCGGATGTAGGCGATGCAGGCCGCCTCGTCCCCGATCAGGTGGACGTGGGGGTTCAGCAGGATGGTGTGGACCGGCTGCTTGGCCTTGGACAGAGCTGAAGAGAGGAGCAGGAAGGACGGAGAGTCATGGGACCGCTCCTCAAAAGGATCACATCTGCAGGCTCATGTTTATACAGACAACATTACATTACATGTTACTTGTTAGACGCTTTTATCCAAACATACTCAGTACTGTGGGCAATCCACACAGGAGCAATTTGGGGTGAAGTGTCTTGTCCAGGGACACAACGACATGCTGACTGCAGTGGGGTTTGAACCTGTGCTCCACTGATCCCAACACCAATGCAAAGCTTTTCCCCTTTCAAGCCATATGTTTTTGTGTCTCAATGAGATTTTACACCTGCATAAATAAAGGCAAAAAATGTTATATTGATGTTGTTTGCATTTTGATACCATGCCAATATCTTAATGACTTTTTTTTATAGTTACACTTCATGTATCAGGTTTTGTTCTGAATCCAACACATTATTTCTTAAAATTGTGAGTATTATATTGTATACAGTAGCATTTTTTGAAATCTTATATATTTTCCCTTTGACCACAGCGACGATATATATATCATAATCAGTGACTATCCTCTGTTACAATGATCACAAATGGAAACATTTTTTCTTTATCCATAAAAGTAACACTCACTAACTTTTAGCAGTATCTCACTAAGCAAATTGTTGCACATCAAGACTTTTAAAGTCATTTTTAAATGCTCTGAGTAGCACAAATACAATTTAAAGGTCACCTATTATGGTCTTTTTCAACAATATACTAAAGGTCTCAGATATATCCAGAACATGTCTCTGATTGGCTGAAACACCAAACAGATCATTGCAGCATCCCATAATCCCCTCTGTTTCAGCCCTGTTTCAAAGGTGCTGATTCTCTGTCTGTTACTTTAGATGAAAATA